ATAAAAAAATGTGTATTATAATAATGAAAACATTATCAGAACAAATAATTAATTAGTAAATATCAATAAATCAACATCATAAATCAGCATTATTTTTTAATATTATAAATTTCAATTAATATGTCAAATTGGTCTATTGAACATATTAGCAAAGCTTAATAATCGTTCATCGGCAGAGGATGGTAATTATATTAAATTTAATAAATATTTCTTTTATATATTTATTACTATTTAACATATTTATATTGCACCTATTATCCTTCAAATAATTTAGGACCTTTAATTCAATGTCATTTATTGAATTATTAGAATTGGATGTGGTGAAACAAAGTAATCATTATCTTCATCAATTGAAGACTTTGATGACATATTACAGTGTTGTGATGATTTAATGAAACATATTGACGATTAAATTAAAACCCATCCATATAAAATTATAATCTTTGCAAAAATAATTAAAATATAGACAAAGCATTATTGAATTTTCTTTTACTATTCCTTTTGTTATTTTAATTATTTTTGCAAAGATTATAATTTTATATGGATGGGTTTTGATTTAATCGTCAATATGTTTCATTAAATCATCACAACACTATAATTTCAATATTATTTTTAAAAATAACTGAAGAATTATGTATTAATAAATCTCGAAGGTTTTTTTTCTTTTTCACCATCAATCCAACCATTTTTAAATCTTTTATATCAAGAATTTTCTACTGCAATAGCTAATGGTTTGCACAGAAATTTGTGATTTTTTTTTAACATTTAATATTGGAATAGCAGTTGATTTTGCTTTGTATTTTGCCATCGCTATAACCAATGTGGACATTATATGGCATTTCAATATCTCTTAGTTTTGGAAATTCTAATTTTTCACATAATTTTGGAAGTTTGATTTTAAATTTTAATAAACTAGTAAGTCTATCAAACATGCTATTCTATCTCGTACAGCAGGCATAACTAATTGTTTTCCTTAAACTGCCTTAATAAACTGCAGTTTTAGGTCTATTACTAGCATAACTTAGTACATTTGGCTAGTGCTGGATGATGAATTCTAGAAATGGTAGGAGAATCCTTAATAGCTTTCTCGACATCTGGTGCGGCAATAAGGCTTATCGTATGGTATAGACAACGAATGTGCCAAGGCATTGATATTGATGCTTCTTTAGATTCTTAAATATAAACAAATAAATAATTTTATTTGAATAAAATCTTTTATTAAATTTACGATATCATTAATATATTTTACAATTAAAGAAGTATTAAATAATACTTTCAATGACTTCGAATTCTATACATTCATCTTCATTGATGTCAAGGTCATTCTCCACACCTTCTTCCTGTGATGAAATCAATTTTTATTATAAATTTAACAACTTTTTACCTTTTGTACCGCAGTATATATATATTTTACAAAACAAACAATTAATCGTCGTACACAATTAATAATATATATATTTAAAATTCATCATATATTTAATTGCCTTTGAGGCTAATTGTTTCTATTACACTTCCATAGAATATCCAAGCTTAAAAGCTTTGATAAAATTAGATGCGTTGTCTGTCACATTGATATAACTTTTTCATCAATTCCAAAGTCACAATGGATTTCATGAACTAACTGCTATTTTGGCTTCCCAAAAACCTTCTTACAACAAGGGCCCGAGATTGTCCTTGTAAACTATCGCTTGAGAGCTTATTTAATTGAATTTATAAATAAAATAACATGATTTCATTGCCCAGTGATAAGTCATTCCAAGAAAGCTTCTAGTCAAATATCTGCAATAGTTCAGATATATGTCTGATTAACTGTTTTAAATTATCAGCTTCATATTTGAAGCTCATCAATTTTTGCAAAGATCTTCTAGAGAAAAAATTTAATTGGTAATGGTTATCAAATATAAGATAATATTTATAATAAATCGACAAGTAGAAGATATAAGAATAAGAGAAAAAAATTAAATTTACCTTCCATCATTTTAATAAATTCTTTTTGCTCAATTATGGATAATGGATGCATTCCTTTGACAAATGCGAAATCATTAACTCAAAAAACTTTAGAATCAAATGGTAAGAAGAAAAAAATATCTCAAGAAATTGACTTTCACAATTCTTTTGTTTTTTTCCGTTCGTGTAATATTTTACGATTCTTAATATGATTCCAGATGATCTCTATCAGTGAAACAAAAAATAAAATATTTTATATTAAAGATTTATTTAGTAAATTTGCGAAAGCTCATATTTTGCATAGCCCTAATTTTTTTGTAAAAATTCTATTTTGAATGATAAAATGTATTTATATTAAAATATGATATTTTTTATAAATAATTCTAATTATTACCCGTTAAAATTTTATAAATATGAAAATCAAATATTATTTTGCAAAAATTTTTTTAAATGCAATATAATGATAATCTATATATTTTATAAAAAAATTATATTTTAAGCATGTATGTAAAAATTTTAAAAAATAATATATGCAAGGTGGATTAAATATTGTACTATGTACTATCATATAAAAAAGGTATCCCAAATATGTTGATTATATTTTAAACTAGTGTTCAAATTAATAGTCTCTTTTTTTATTAATATTTATTTTCTTATTCATTCATAGATGATTTTTATATATCATTTTAATTTTATTATGAATAATTAATATAAAAATAATTTGCTATAATATTTCTAAATTTATCAACAGATTGATATGGAATATGAAATGTTAATGAATATGATTATAAATTAGAAATGTGATTTATAATAAAATTATAAATTATATTTTTAAATGCTTGACAAAATTAGATGACGAGTCCGCAGAGACACTTATAGATTTGTGGCAATCTTTACATTCTGCAGTAATTTTATTATTTGTATTATTGTGTTCATGTTGAGTGACTTGAAAAAATTTTCTATTTAAAATATTTAATTTAAATTTATAATTATATTATTCTGTAGAAGAATTATCTGACGAAGATAAAGATATTATTCTATTTTCTTCTTCAATCATTATTTTAAAATGATGGATATAAAACGTCAAATAAAATATGGTAGTTGTTTGCAAATTGCTATATGACGACCAACGTCATATATCATATTATCTTAAAATTCTAAATTCGGTTTAAATTTTTCTTTTAAATTTTAAAATAATATCATTTTAAATTTTAAGACTATTTAAATTAACTAATATAAATTTTTTTTAAAGTATCTGTATCTTTTTGAATACAAAGTTGATTAGGACACAGATACTTTTAAATAATGTGTATCTTAGATACAAATATCCGCGATACTGCCCAACCCTGTAACATATATATATTTTTACTATTTTTTAATTTACAGATATAATGTTAAAATCTTATACTTCATTTTTTTTTCTATCATTTTTATTCCTGATCACTTTATTATTATATAGAATAGGATGTGGCTTTGAAGCAAAATGCTTATCATTTTTTTTAATTATCTAGATTTCCAATTAACAATAAAGCTCTTTTAAGTAAGTAAACATCGAGTTAAAAGTGAATTTTTTTAAACAGTGCTAGATCATGAATTAAGATCTTTTAGTCATATCCATATATTAATCAAACTCATAGTTCTTTAATATAAAGACATTTTATTTCATCATTTTGAAAAGATTGCTAATATTTTTAGGCCAATAATTTTTTTTCATTAGGCTGTGTCCTAAATATATTGAAATAAATCTCAAAATTTATAAATTTTCACAAATTAATAAAGCTATGAAACATATCCGAAATCTTCCATTATTTTTTTGCAAAAAAAATAAAAAAAACGAGAATAAAATACGAAAAAACATACTTTAATATTACTAGTTTGTTCATAAAAATTACCCAAATATAAATAAATTTTGGAAAAAAATTTATTCAAATTTATTTCTATTATTTTTTAAAAAAAAAATTTTGTAAATGACGGAAAATATGTTAGATCAACTAATTTATTTTTACATTAAAAATTGACTATGTTATTTTTTTCTTTAAAATTTATAAATATAAATTTATTTATATTTAGGATAAATTTATATTTAGGATAGGAGGAGATGAAACAGAAAGTATTGATATAAATAAATGACAGATATCGACAATTGAAAGCTGCACGGCACAATAGAAAAAGAGATAAAGAGTAAAATTAATCAAGTGTGGTTAAAGTGGAGATCTTTATCTGGAGTGCTATTTGACAAAAGAATCCCACACAAATTAAAGGGAAAAATTTACAGTTCCATAGTACAACCAACTATTCTATATAGTTCGGAAACATGGCCAAACAAGGAATCAGACGAGAGAAGTCTACAAACTATGGAGATGAGAATGCTGAGGATGATTGCTGGGGTAAAGAAAGGATAAAGTGCGCAGTACAAGAATACTAAGTAGTTTAAAGATAGTGCCCATTAAGACTAAGTTAATGGTAAACAGACTTAGGTGGTATGGGCACACAATGAGAAGACCTGTGAACTACATAGGAAATAAGGTTGAAAGTTTGGAGGTGGGCAAACTTAAAAAAGGAATGCCAAAACTTCAATGGGGCCATAAAGTTAGAGCCAATAAATTAGATAAAAGAGATGGTATGAATAATATAAAGTGGAGAGAGATGTTGAAGGAGCTTACCACCAGAAAAGGTGAAAGCTAAAGAGAAAAAAAAATATTTAGGACACATCTTTATATAAAACATAATTTCCTGTTATTTTATTAACTTTTATGTTTTTATGAATATATGAGTTTATATATATTTCTTTCATTTTGTAATTTATCAATTTATCTTTTCTTCCAAAAAAATTAAAAATAACTTTTACATGAATTTAATTTATATCATTTTATATCATTTTATATTATAAAATATATATTCATATTCTGTTATAAATTAAATATTTTTATAAATTTTAATTTTTTAAATTCTCCATCTTGCGGAAATTTTCTAATTTTAATTTATATTTATATATGAATTTTTAAATGGTTAATTATTTTTATATTATATCTTATATTTTATTACTCAACAAGATAACAAACAAAAGTACATTTATAGGTATTGCAACTGGATGATTGATAGTTTTAAGCCTATAGGCTGCTTCACAACAACCAGTGCTAGTGGGGATGTAAAAGCTACCACCTGTACCTGCGATACGGATGCATGCAACTCGGCACACTTCTACTTAAATTCATTTTCGCAAAACAAAATAAAATTTATATTGACCACTATATTCATGCCTTTTTTATTGCTATATTCTCTTTTATAATTAAATTTCATACGTAATATACTTTTTTTCATTCCTACTCAATGCATATGGTATTAAATTTGTATTTGGAAAATTTTAAATATAAAACACAGGTATATTTTCTTTAAATCGATTTATTAAAATCTACTAGAAAAATGCATTAATAAAGATTAGAAATTAATAGTTTATGAAATATATAATCATATTTTACCAGGAGTGGAGGGGGAAGAATGATTTCTTAACAAATAATAATTTTTAGAGAAAATTATTAAAGTTTTTCTCTAAATAGTCCGAAATCATTTTTTTTATTTGAATGGATTGCGAAACTATATTTCCAATATGTTTTAATTATTTTATGAATGTTTAGACTCTACTTTGGATTGTCCTAATCATTTTTTTAAAAGAATTATTTTACTAGTCCGATTATTCAGAATCGTTAAATATCTTTTTTACAAAAACAAATTTGTAATCTCATATACATATAATATGTTTAACTTGCAAAATGGATTATATTGGTCTTTTTCCTTCATTAAAACCTTGCAATTATTTTGAAGAAATTGTATTTTTTTTATTCACGCGACTTATTGTAATAAAAATGGTAAATTTAATATTATATTTATACATTTTGCTTTCAATAAAAAGATACACTATTTCACCTAGGTTTTTTAATATTATCTATAATTGCCATTGGCAAAAAATTGAATTTTAATATATTAAGAACAATTTAGCTATTAAAAATGTTTATTATATTGGTTGGTTGATAAACTAATGTAAAGCACATTCATTTTGTCATAAACAAATTGCGTCGTATAATTAAATTTACTGCCAATATATTAACTATCAAATGATACCTTTTATTTAAATTTAAATACCAGAGGCACTATAATTTTATCTTAAACATGAAAATCAGGCATAAATATTATTAATAGTAAAATGAAATATTTCTTGAAATTGCCTTAAGATTTAAAAGAAAATATTTCATCTTTTATAACAAAATTCCCAAATTTTTGAAAATATGAATTAGATTTGTAAAATGATATAATATATTGTAGAGGTGTGTAGAGCAGCTATGATCATCGAAACTATTGCTGGGGGGGGGGGGGGTGACGTTTATCTTTTTCTATTATTTGAAAGAATTATTAAAGGATCTACGATCCTGAATTCGATTCTTATTTTGGCAAATTGACCAGATCGATGATTTTCTTTCGAAATAAGGATCGTGATCGAGATCATTTTGTTAATCCTTTTTTTAATAAAAAAATTTTTAAATAACAAAATATTAGTTATATTTAAAAAAAATCCATCTCCATCATAGTTATTTTAATCACTACCAATAAGATATAATAATAATGTCATTGATCACGATAACATTTACTTACGGCAGAAGTTTTCATAGGTTTTTTTAAAATATTGAATTAAAAATAAAAAATTATTACAGGTTTATCGATGCTTTTCATAGCAACAATATGTTTATTCAGTCACACAAGGGTAAAAATATGTTTATACCTTTACCTCCAAATTCATAAGATCAACTCTATAGAATAGCCGAATATAGAATTTTTTTTATTTAATTTAATCTTTATGGTATTTATTAGTGTTGTTAATTTGCTTGGTCGTAAAATTTACAACCCAATTTGGTACTCAGGCCTGCTCTGAGCACGAACCCGGGGTCCAGACCCGAGGTTCGGGTGAATAATGTTATTCCAAATAGTTCAAATAAAAATACCAAAAGTAAAGAAGCAGCTACACGCAATGGCGTTTCCTGGGGTTAGATAGTAAAGCCCTGCAAGCAACTCAGCTTCGGGTTAAAAAAAATTTAATCGGGTCGACCTAGGGCTTAAAAATACCAAAAATAATAGGATTAATATGAGTTATTATATTGATTAGCCGAGCCATTATTTCCAGTCATACGACTTTTGCAACGATTCGAAAAATTACTTTTTTTTTTAATAAAGGATAAATTAGAATTTTTCTGGGATTAGGATAAGGACAATTAGTATTAAATTTAACTTTATACAAAAATTAAAATGTTTTTATTTATATTTTTAAATTCAAATATTTTCGGACTCAGGGCTAAGGAAGATGTTAGTGCCTAGATAGATCTTGCTTAAAAATCTTCTTTGAAGATATTTTGTACAACTTTTAGAACAAGATTCCAAATTTTTAGGGATTTAAAACCTATTCCTTATTTCATTTTTTTTAAAGATTTTTAAATATAAAAATAAAAAAAAATACTGAATTTAATTTATTTATGTTTTTTGTTTTATATGTAAGTCGCCAATATATAGAAAATAATAATACTTAAATAAATTATATTATATTTATATCATCTTTAAAATTATTTAAGAAAAAATTTTTTTTATATATACGAGGGGTGGGGGGAGGGATAATTATTTTATGTTTGATTAAAATATCGTCTAAACTACAATTATCCAGTCTAGTTCGTAATGGGGTTATTGTTAATGCTTAAGAATCTCTCCACCGTTGCTTGCGAGCAAGGATCAACTGGAACTAATCACTAGAGTGTGTATAATTAAGGTAATTAATATTTCTGGATAGCCAATATTTTGATCGGAAGGCAATTTTTGGCTATTTATTACGCAATTAGTGATCGTCGTAATATTCATTAGCGAATTAGGGTTAAATAACTAATAAATACATTTCGACTCAAAATGAAATCGAACCAACTATTGGGACGACTAGAGTCAACTCTTGAGCTGACTAATGCCTTCATCTAGTCGGCTTGAGCAATAGCCCATCTTTAATTGGCAAGAACCCCACTGGAGAGCCGTATCTATCATAAAAGAAAATTTAAGATTATTTAATTGTATGTCAATATTAATCATTATTATAATTTATCTTCTTGCATTGTGCGGTCTTAATTTGTAAGTGTTTAGTTTTGTACCATTATGATATATATTTATGGTTCCACCTCTAAATAACAAGAATCAAAATAGCAAGGAATTAAATGAATGAAAATCTTAAGAAGCCTAATAATATATAAATTATTAAAAAATTTAATTATATAATTATATTATTACATATATAAGTTTTACATATTAATAGTGTTGTATAAATTATTATATATATATAAATCATTTTAATATTATAAAACTGTTATTATAAAATATTTTAGGCATAATTTTTATCTAATAATATTATAGTATTTTATAAATTATTAATATATAAATTGTTTTAAATTATAAATAAACATATAACTTTTATAAATTTTAACTATAATTTATCCATATTAATATTATGTTTATTATATGATATTATAAACATGTATATTGCAATTGTATTTTAGTTTTCATTTTTCTAATAATTTATGATTTGCTCCTTATCAACGTCTACATAGAGAAAAAAAAACTCTTACCTCCTACCCCTAAATGATTTTTTATTCACTATTCTTAAAGGCGATATGATGACATGTACCTTCTCCCCAGCATGTCGCTATTGCTTCTTATTAGAATTCTCCTTTATTAAATATAAATTTGTAATTATATTATAAACCCCCCCCCCCCCCCTCATATAATATATACTACAATTTTTTCCTATAAAAAATTATAATTAAATATTAAAAATAAACCTAATAAGTTACGTATTAAATATTTTCAGAGATTGTTCTACAATCTCCTCTCAAGCTTCCCCTCTTTTTTAGCTATGGCTACTCTAAATAAATGGCAGCGCTATTAATTAGCTACTATTTTTATAAAAGTAACTAACTATCCCTATTTAAAAAATGTAGCGCGCTACTTTTAACATAGCTTATGGTGAATAGCTATAACAGTGACGAAACTAGGGAAGCAATGAAAAACATTTCTATTGCTATTTAAAAAATGTAGCGCGCTACTTTTAACATAGCTTATGGTGAATAGCAGTGTTGTTAAACGCTACTTTTAAAAGTAGCGCGCTATCGCTACCGCTATTTTATAAAAAAAAGTAGCGCGCTATCGCTACCGCTATCGTTTTCAAATGAGTAGCGCGCTATTAGCTACTTTTTACGCTACTTTGATTTTTTTTTAAATTTTTTTTACGTAACTTTATTTCCACAAATAAAATATTGATATAAAAACATGACTATAATTTGTTACATATATATATAATTTATTTATTATTGCACTATAATAATAATAACATTTCGGTACTGTCATCCCCAAGTCTAGAGCGACGATCAGAAAGTATAAGCTTTGCCATACTAAATAATCGTTCAGCACTAGCACTTGAGGGCAACGCAGTATTAAATTTAATAAACAAACTTTTTATATGAAAAAAATCATCAAAAATATTTAAATTAGAATTTTTAGATTTAAAAAAAGCATCTAGAGGTTCAATATTATTATTATTATTTATTTCAAAAAAATCGTCTATGGAAGGCCGCGGTTTCGATCTTGCTATAGTATCGTTATCGTGGTTAGGCATGCCATTTTTTAACGTTACCATCAGCCTATCAAGTTGCCCTTTAGATTCAGTCAAATTAATGTATGGCCAATTTAACTTGAAACTAGGATGAACGATAGCAGCTATTACATTATCATCATCATACAGATCTGGAAATCTAATTTATATAAAGCGATTGTATTTATTATAAAAAAAAGAAGAATACCATATTAATTTTTAAAATTTAAATTTATCTGAGATTTAGTTTCATTTAAAAAAAAAATTAAAATAGCAATAAATTATGGTAAATAAAAATTTTAAAAATATAATTATTATACACAAGGTAATTAATAATATATTAATTTTGAATTTTATATTAATTAATAATTACTATATATTAATATTATAGATTGTGTTGTAAATTAAGCCAATTTAAATTATGGCTAATCAAACAATAAATCATTCATTTTATATAATTGTATAATAGTTTAAAAAAAAAGTTTTGACCTTTTCTCAATACTTTTTAGCATAGACTCTATCAGTGGTTGGCAAAATTTTAGATTATTGATTCTTTTGAGCTTGATAATTAATATACTCAGTGTGGGCACATAATATCCCATGCTCATATTATCTTGCCCCTCTAAGATTTTAAGTGAGGCAGCAACATATTGCATAACCTAAAAAATTTAAATGGTTAAATATTATATAATATTATTTATTAATTAAAAATACTTCAGTATATTCTTTAATAAAAGTATGCTCCTCCACATTAAAATACTGTATTCCCATTTGATCCAATATATAATTCATTTCCATTTTTTTCTCATCTAGAAACAATGCTAAAAGTTTCATAGCATTGTAAACACTATTCCATCTTGTAGTGTTTGGTGTCAATAAATAACGTCCTAATTTTTTTTTGAAAATATCAGACGTCTTTGATGACTTATTTTGTTTATTCCAAAGAGCTTGGCATTTAGAAAATGTAGATCTTGATACTCTTTTAAAATCCTCATTTAATAATGCTTCTTCAGCATCCACTGTCGCAATTAAATTTAGGTTGTGGCAGGAACAACGATGATGGCTAGGTAACATAGAAGACTTTATTGAAGATCCTAAATATTATAAATTTTATTTTATATTTGTGAAAAATTATATAAAATAATTTAAAACCAAGGATGTCATGAACATCAATTATCTCAAACTCCATTTCATCATCCTCTTCTTGTTCTCCATCTTCAATATTTTTGTCAGGAATATTACTAGTATTGTTATTATTATTATCTTCCCCAAATATTCTATATTATTTATATCATATAAAAAAATTATAATAAATTTAAAACCTGAAGGCCTTCAGGAAATTAGACCCATTATCCGTAATCATCTTACAAACCTTGTTTTGAATTTTGTAAGACCTATGGATTTCTGCAATAATATTGGATAGAATGTCATAAGTCTGACAGCCAATTATTCTCTTTAGAGCTAACGCTACAGATTTTCGTTTAAGATTTTTAGGATCAATCCAATGTGCAGTTACTCCTAAATAAGCTCTAAAAATATGACATATTTTAAATCAGAAAATAAACATTTTTACCTTCTATTGTGAGTCCAGCAATCTGCCGTTGTACAGACGTAGGAGACATCTGATAGATTTAATATCAAAGATTCTTTCATTTCCTTAAAGCTCTCCAAAATTCTTGCCATCAGTGTCTGCCGGCAAAATATCTTGGTCCGTGGAGAAAAAGTGTTTATCATCTTTATAAAAGAATCATTATCCACCAAGGATAATGGTTGAACTGTATCAATTATAAAGTTAATAATGACTTTATCAGCCAATTTTTGGGATACACCAGGTGTTGATGAATCCATATTGGTTAATTTTGTTTGTATTAAATTTGATTTGGAAGTGGGTTTATCTTCTTCCATTACCCCAAAACTTTTGAGATATTTTTCAATCTCTTTATAATTTGAAGTGTGCACAGTCTAAAATTATAAAATACTTAGAATAAAAATTATGTAGGAGATAAGTAGGGGAGAAGTGCCATAAATGGCCATGTTTGAAGACTGGCCACCACCCTTTAACTTTTTTTCTATTGGACCGATTTCTCTCAAAATTAGTCAAAATGTCTATATTTATGATATTTACCTTACCTAAGTTTATTTATTGAATAGAGCAATCCAATATAAAAATATTTTATAAAAACTGTTTTTGGTACCTCTTTCTGGAAAAATCACGTTACACATTTTTTTGTTTGGTAAAAAAATTACTAATTTAGATTACTAATATTTATATAAATATTATCCTTAGGCATTTAGCATTATTCACACAAAAAATAAGACTTTAAAAATTTTATTTAATAGACATATAGAGGCGCTTATTAATAATAGACAGGTGAGTATTGTCTGGCCAGGCATTGACTGGCCAAAATCATACATTCATATTGAAAATTTTTAACTCATTTTTGCAAACTAACAAAAGCATCCAAAACAAATAAAAATTTATTAATATTAGACAATCATTGTTCACATTGCTCACTGAGGTCAATAGATTTTTGCAGAGACAATGGAATAATCCTACTCACCCTACCACCACACTGCTCCCACAAGTTACAACCACTAGATAAATCAGTCTTTGGACTATTTAAAAAATTTTACAGTAACAGCATTGACAATTGGATGAGAAACCATGTAGGCAAATCATTTACCATATATGAAATACCATCATATTAAAATGGAGCTTCCTAAAGCTACAACCCCCCAAAATATTCAGAATGGATTTTTAGCCTGTGGGATATATCCCTTCAACCCTGATATATTCTCTGAAGATAGTTATTTAATATCTAATGATGATGATATGTCAGAATTATCCAATATTCCTCTGGGAGTGGGAAAATTAGCATATTGTGATCCTGAAAATGATACAATATAAATTCCACTCTTAGCCCTATGCCTACCACTTCTGATAATGAGTTATGCTTAACATCATGTCATCAGCCCAATAATAATTTGAATTCGCAATCTATTCTACCTCATCCAATTTTATATAGCAATAATATTATCAAAAAAGACAAGAGGAGAAAGAAATCAGAAATTTTAACCTCATCACCTTATTAAAAACATAAATTAACAAATATTAAAAAAAACAATAAAAAAAAAATCTAAAGAAAACTAATGATGAGTGGCTTTGCACAATATGCAAGAAGGCATATTCAAAGAGCAAGAAAGGTGAAGAGTGGATTAAATGCCTGCAATGTGAAGAATGGGCCCATACTCAATGTACTAATAACAATGATTTATTTGTTTATTATGTATGTAAATAAAGATACTATAATTGTTTCATTTATAAATTAATAAAATGGCTTTCATTATTGTTGTGTATTAATAATTGCCTAATTAAGTTTATTAAACATCATGAATGATTAAATTATTAAAAATCACCTTAACATGTAGATAGTTAAGATAATAATTTATATAATTATTAAATAGATAGTGATTAATTTTATATTGAAATAAGAATGTTTAACAAAAAGATAATTAAGATATTAATTTATAAAATATTATCATTAAATAGATGATGATAAATTTAGATGTTAATACTTATAATTAAATTTTTATTGCCTAAAAATTAAGAATAACATGTAGTATTTCTAATTGTAATATTTCATATTTATAAAATTCTAAATAAAATATTGTCTAACTAAGTTTATTAAACATAAATTTATAAATTGATGAATGATTAAATTATTAAAATAGTCTATTACATGTAGATAATTAATATAATAATTTATAAAGTCATTAAATAGAGAGTGGTTAATTTTATATTGAAATTAAACTGTTTAACAAAAAGATAATTAAGTTATTAATTTATAAAGTATCATTAAATGGATGATGAAAAATTTAGATTCTTATACTTATTAAATTAGTTTATAATTAAATTTTTATATACCTAAAATGAAAAAATATATAAGATAGGTCTTTTGCAAGTATTTCATATTGTAATATTTCATATTTATAATAAAATTCTTAATTAATATATTATAATAACTTTCACATAACCTCATCTAGCTCATAAACAATTATAGATAGAGCTTTAATTCAAATTTTATTTTAAAGATTAATAATTTGTCTACACATTGATATCAAATTTGTTTAGTTAAACCCTATTCCTAATACCTTTTTTTCAAAAAAGCAAAAACATGGCCATTCATGGCACTTCTCCCCTACATAAAAATGATTGAAATAACTATTTTAAAATGTTTTAAATAATTTAGATAAAATTTATGAATATATAAAAAAAATGATTGGTTTTTTATTTTAATTTATTTTCTACACATTGATATTAAATTTGTTTAATATATTACCTTTAAATGTTTTTTCAAATTAAAGCTGCTCGTATGATTTGAAGAGATAATTTTGCGGCACATCTTGCACCGAAACCGATATCCAGTATTAATTTTTTCTTCAAGGTTAAAGTATTTCTTGAATTTTGGGAAAGGATCATCTATATTTTGCTCATTTTCCAAAGAAATTTCAATATCTTCAACAATCTCACACATAACAAAATTTATAAAGCTTAATATAAAATGTAAAATGAAATATAAAATAAGATAAAAGCAAGGACATACCAATAACGGAATTTACGTACGTGATACGTGATTAGTGTTGCGTAATCGGCTAAAAACTACGCCTAAGCCTAATAAGGCTAAGCCTAAAAATCGGCTAAGCCTAATTAGGTTAAGCCTAAAAATCGGCTAAGCCTATATAAATCTGCTAAAAATTAGTCAAAATTCTGCATCGATGCTTAGTATTAATTATTATTTATTTAATTTAGTAAAATAATTTATTTTATTTATATTTAATGTAAATATTTTATTATTATCAACAAATAAACATGATATGATTTAATATTTTTTATTTATTATTATATTTTGAAATGAAAATAAATTTATTTATTTGATGTTATTTTAATAAAAAAAATAAAATGCTGCTATATTGTAAAATTGTAATATTCTTTTTAATATAATTTATTAGTGATTTTCACAATCTTCATTATAAATACATCTTTTATTGAGGAATTATATTGTAAATTTTATTAGATAAATATCTTTTAGGTGAAATCTTTTATCATTTTTTTTAAATTATCTTTTTTATTAAATAAGGTGGATTTTATGAAACTTTTTTGATGATTTTATATGATCTTTTTAAGGATAATATTTTAATGTGACAATTGTCATAATCGTTATTTTATAAGTTTTTTGAATCTTTTTGAAGAAAATAGGTTAAAATAAGTATTAATAACATGTGTAAATATAAATTTAGTGAAGATGTACCAAAGAAAAGTGACAATTGTCATAATCGTTATTTTTAAAGTTTTTTGAATTTTTTTGACGACAATATGTTAAAATAAGTATTAATAACATGTTTAAATAAAAATTTAGTGAAGATGTACCATAGAAAATTGACAATTGTCATAATCGTTATTTTTAAAGTTTTTTGAATTTTTTGAAGAAAATATGTTAAAATAAGTATTAAAAACATGTTTAAATAAAAATTTAGTGAAGATGTACCATAGAAAAGTGACAATTATCATAATCGTTATTTTATAAGTTTTTGGAATTTTTTTGAAGAAAATATGTTAAAATAAGTATTAAAAACATGTTTAAATAAAAATTTAGTGAAGATGTACCATAGAAAAGTGACAATTGTCATAATCGTTATTTTATAAGTTTTTTGAATTTTTTTGAAGAAAATATGTTAAAATAAGTATTGATAACATGTTTAAATAAAATTTAGTGAAGATGTACCATAGAAAATTTACATTGTCATAATGGTTATTTTTAAAGTTTTTTAAATTTTTTTGACGAAAATATGTTAAAATAAGTATTAATAACATGTGTAAATATAAATTTAGTGAAGACAATGAAAAGTGACAATTGTCATATTCGTTATTTTTTAAATTTTTTGAATTTTTTTGACGAAAATATGTTAAAATAAGTATTAATAACATGTGTAAATATAAATTTAGTGAAGATGTACCAATGAAAAGTGACAATTGTCATAATCGTTATTCTTAAAGTTTTTTGAATTTTTTTGACGAAAATATTTTAAAATATGTATATATAACATGTTTAAATAAAAATTTAATGAAGATGTACTCTAGATAAGCGACAATTGTCATAATCATTATTTTTTAAGTTTTTTGATTTTTGTTGACGAAAATATGTTAAAATGAGTAATAATAACATGTTTAAATAAAAATTTAGTGAAGATGTACTATAGAAAAGTGACAATTGTCATAATCGTTATTTTTAAAATTTCTTTGATGTAAATGGGTAAAAATATAGATTGTAAAATTAAAATTGCCTGAGTATATGCCATAGAAAAACATATGGTAATAATAGATTCTTCCCCAAAAACAGGAGCAAATTGGCATTTTATTACATTTGTTCATCGGGTCAGAAATTAATATGCAAAATTTATATCATAATATCTAATCCTAAGTTAGAAATTATTATTTTTTTACCAATTTTCACCAGACAATCTTGTTTAAAATTTGGGTAAACTTTTTTTTCTATTTTAAAATCAATATCGATGCAAGTTAACTATTTTCGTCAAAAAAAATCAAAAAACTTTAAAAATAACGATTATGACAATTGTCGCTTATCTAGAGTACATCTTCACTAAATTTTTATTTAAACATGTTATCAATACTTATTTTAAAATATCTTTGTCAATAAAATTCCAAAAACTTTAAAAATAACGATTATGACAATTGTCACTTTTCATTGGTACATCTTCACTAAATTTATATTTACACATGTTATTAATACTTATTTTAACATATTTTCGTCAAAAAAATTCAAAAAATTAAAAATAACGATTATGACAATTGTCACTTTTCTATGGCACATCTTCACTAAATTTTAATTTAAACATGTTTTTAATATTTATTTTAACATATTTTCTTCAAAAAAATTTAAAAATAACAATTATGACAAATGTCACTTTTCATTGGTACTTCTTCACTAAATTTATATTTACACATGTTATTAATACTTATTTTAACATATTTTCTTCAAAAAAATTCAAAAAACTTTAAAATTAACGATTATGACAAATGTCACTTTTCATTGGTACATCTTCACTAAATTTATATTTACACATGTTATTAATACTTATTTTAACATATTTTCGTCAAAAAAATTCAAAAAACTTTAAAAATAGCGATTATGACAATTGTCAGTTTTCTATGGTACATCTTCACTAAATTTATATTTACACATGTTATTAATACTTATTTTAACATATTTTCGTCAAAAAAATTCAAAAAACTTTAAAAATAGCGATTATGACAATTGTCACTTTTCATTGGTACATCTTCACTAAATTTATATTTAGACATAATATTAATACTTATTTTAACATATTTTCGTCAAAAAAATTCAAAAAACTTTAAAAATAACGATTATGACAATTGTCACTTTTCTATGGTACATCTTCACTAAATTTATATTTACAGATGTTATTAATACTTATTTTAACAAATTTTCGTAAAAAAAATTCAAAAAACTTTAAAATTAACCATTATGACAATTGTCACTTATTGGTACATCTTCACTAAATTTTTATTTAAACATGTTATTAATACTTATTTTAACATATTGTCGTCAAAAAAATTCAAAAAACTTTAAAAATAACGATTATGACAATTGTCACTTTTCTTTGGTACATCTTCACTAAATTTATATTTATACATGTTATTAATACTTATTTTAACCTATTTTCTTCAAAAAAATTCCAAAAACTTATAAAATAACGATTATGACAATTGTCACATTAAAATATTATCCTTAAAAAGATCATATAAAATCATCAAAAAAGTTTCATAAAATCCACCTCATTTAATAAAAAAGATAATTTAAAAAAAATGATAAAAGATTTCACCTAAAAGATATTTATCTAATATAATTTACAATATAATTCCTCAATAAAAGATGTATTTATAAAGAAGATTGTGAAAATCACTAATAAATTATATTAAAAAGAATATTACAATTTTACAATATAGCAGCATTTTATTTTTTTTATTAAAAAAACATCAAATAAATAAATTTATTTTCATTTCAAAATATAATAATATAAATAAAAAATATTAAATCATATCATGTTTATTTGTTGATAATAATAAAATATTTACATTAAATATAAATAAAATAAATTATTTTACTAAAATAAATAAATAATAATTAATGCTAAGCATCGAGGCAGAATTTTGACTAATTTATTTTAGCCAATTTTTAGGCTTAGCCTAATTAGGTTTAGCCGATTTTTAGCCGATTTTTAGGCTATACCTAATTAGGCTTAGCCGATTTTTCCACCTAAAATCTCGGCTAAGCCGTTTTTAGTCGGCTAAAATTAGCCGATTACGCAACACTATACGTGATAACAACTGTTTATATCTAATATATAACAATAATGTATATTTTTAAATATAAATTTCAAAATTAAATTAAATAAAAGGATTATAATTTTAGATTTTATAAAAAATATATTTTAATAATTTTTAGATGTATTTATTATGTAAAATTGAAGCTACTTTCTAAATTAGTAGCGAGCTACCGCTATCGCTATTTTTTAAAAAAAGTAGCGCGCTATAGCTACCGCTACTGAAAAAAGTAGCGCGCTATTTTAACAACACTGGTGAATAGCTATAACAGTGACCAAACTAGGTAAACAATGAAAAACATTTATCTCTCATTTGATTTATTAAAACGGTAAAGCAGAATAATTATATTCGGCAGACAGAGCATGGCATGATGATTGTACTTCAGGAACATGTTCTTCCTTGCAAAATGGCAAAGTTATGCAAATATAAGCTAACTAAACCCAATAGCGATTATCAAAATAGCGAGATATTAAATGATGAAAATGTAAAGAAGTCTAAATTATTAATATATAAATTATTTTATAAATTACTAATATGTAATTATAAATTATTAATATAAAAATCATTATAATATTATGAGACTATTGTTATATAATTATAAATATATTCCCATATAATTTTTAAACGATTAATTATATAAAAAGTTGTAGTATATATTATAAAACTTTAATTATATAATCTAAAATAAATATTACAATTTTGTAAATTATGGCTATACTATTTAACTATTATTATATATAAATATTTTAATTCTTTATTAAGTAATTTATTTTTGTTAAAAGCCCGCTTTCGATTTTTTAAAATGGCCCGATAAGATTTTATTCAAAATAATTTTATGGAACCTAATAAAACTTCTTGCCATCTATACGCAAAATCTTCAGACAGTGACGAAGCATCAAATACTACCAGGGAAGCAATAGAAAATCATTTTTTTTTTATAAGTCTAACCATACAAAAAATTAAAATTTATAAATCAGCAGAATTCGTCCTTGTTTTTGAGTAAAATTTCGTTTCATATTTTGCGCCTGAATCTATCATATTTTTAATTCAATTTTTGGCAAATGATTTTAATTGAATTATCGACTTCAAATTCCAAACATATTTTTCCTTCAAGAATAATAGGCGACCAACAATATAGGGATATAGAAAATCCATATCCAGTGAGCCATTCATATTTTTCATATTAATCCTTTTGGTTTTTATCTTCCTATTAATAATCCATTGCTTCACATCAAAAATTCTTAAATTAAATCATTTTTAATAAATTTTCAATAATACAATTTGCAATTATAAGACACAGATAAAAATATAATATAAAAATATTCTAAACCTCTTTTATTTATTTAAAAAATAGCCATTTTTTTATTTACTTCCCCAACATTTATTATTTATATGTAAAATTACATTCCCATGATTTTCTCGTTATTTATTTTTAAAAATAGATAATATTAAATTTGCTTCACTCATGTAATTTTTTAAGGTAGTAAAAATAATAGTAATTTTTTAAAAATAGTATAAATATATATTATTTTTATTTCAGAATTAGAGTGTATGCTTCCTGGGGATAGGCAGTAAAAAATCTTTTTCGGGTGGAGTTAGGGTTTTTTCTCTCGACGCTGATATAATTTATTAGAAAAATGAAGACTAAATAAACACTCACAAAAAAATATTTTTTTTAAATCAACCCAAATCGGAAAAGAATCATAAGACACCACTTGAACATGTGTGTTAAACAATCCTGTGAGTCACTAGAATTTTATAATTTTTACAATATTTTGGCAGAATAAAAAACTCTTTTAAATGCTTTGGTCTTTCTTTTTATAAAAAATAATTTTCACCCAAAGGATTCGTATTTTATCAAAATTTTTACAAGCAGTTAAAAATATATTTACAATGTTACGACTATACATTTTAAAGTAAGGTTTAATGAATGAATCATCAGTTTATGTATTATTATTAGTGCTGTAAACATTTTTAAAAAAATCGAACGCGTTCAACGTTCATTGACAAAAATCGAACGCGTTCACGTTCAAATTCAAAAAAAGGAACGCGTTCATGCGTTCAAAATTTTATGATAATTTTTTTTTTAAATTTAATTTAAATAAATTGCCTTATATTTTTCAACACAATATATTAGCCATGATAAAAAATAATAGTTTTATTTTGATAATATAATTATAAATACAATATAATAGAGCGATAAAAAAATAAATTTATAAAAAAATTTTCTTATTAATTTTTAATAATAATTGTTTTTCAAAATTTTCATCTGATAGGCATGAACGCTTGGCAGTTAATACAGCGTTAGCTATACTAAAAACTCGCTCAACAGGGGCAGATGAAGTGATTGCGGTGTTATACTTGATAAACAATTCTTTTAAAAGGGGGAATTTATTAAAAACATTTAATGTTTTATCCATTGTTTCAAAAAATTGAGCTCTGTTATTATCCTCCAATCTGCCCTCTTCTTCCTCGTCAAAAAAAAAGATATCTCGGAATTGACAGTTCTTTCATTATCAATTCTTGGGGTTTCAATGCCTTTTTTCCAAAGAGCTATAAGTTTATTCTTTAAAGGTTCATTTTGTGGAAGCTTTATCCAAGGCCATTGAAGCTTGAATATCGGATGTATAATTGCTGAAAGAAGATATTGATCTTCATATATATGTTGAAATCTTTAAAAAAATAAAATATATGTAATTAATTTGATAGTGATAGGTTTAATACCTTTTATTAATCCCATTTAATACAGCATCTATCAATGGTTGCCCATATTTTAGACCACTGAGTTTGTTTAATTTTATAATAACTATTGTTATTGTCGGGGTCAAACATCCCAAATGCATCTTTTCCTCACTTTCTAAGATAGTGAGAGATGTTGCAATAGGCTCCATGATCTATTTTAATATTTAAAAAAATTCATTATAATATTTATTCTAAAAAATTTTATTAGGACTTACAATACAGTACTCTTCCAAAAATTTTTTATCATTGTTTGAGAGTCTAGCTAATCCTCCCATATCACAGATTTTGTCAAACAAACTAGAATTTTCTTTTACTAAGGAATCTATTAATTTCAAAGAATTATAATAAGAATTCCGTCGGGTAATAACAGGCCTAATAAGTAATCTTGACAAATTACTCTTTAAGTCTGCAGCAAATGTTGACTGATTTTGTTTGTTCCATAAACTTTTGCATTTATCAAATGCACTATTTAATATTCTTTTAAAAGATACATCTTCTAATGCTTTTTCAGCATCAACACTTGCCACTAAATTAAGATTGTGGCAAGCACAAGAGTGATGTTTGAGGAGATAAAGTTTTCCTCCCTATTTTGATTTTCAAACACCTCATTTAATGATAATGATTCAATTTTATCTTCCTCATCTTCAGATATTTTCTCAAATAATCTATAATTTTTTTTAAATATAAAAATTAAAATATAGACTATTTATATATACCTAAAGGCCTTTAAAAAGTTTCTTGCATTATCAGTGACACATAATGTTACCTTATTATGTATTTTAAATTTCTTTAGAAGGTTTGAAATTGTTTCAGCTAAATAATCATGTGTGTTTGCTAGTTAGCCTTTGGCAAGCTAAGCATGCCGGTTTTCTTTCTAAAGTGACAGCATCTAACCAGTGTACAGTCATGCCTAAAAACGGACTAATAATATAAACAAATTGATATATTCAAAGTTTAATGTACAAAATACCGAGTATGATGACCATGAATCTGCTGTGATGCAAAGAATTGTTTTATTGCCTAAACAAGTTATCATTTTATCTATCATGATATTATAATCTTTTGATATTTTTGACACAAGGGTCGGGCGTGACATAACCTTTTTATTTGGTTGTAATGTGGTTATCATTTTTACAAAAGCAGGTTTTTCAACAATATTAAAAGGCTCTAGTTCTTCTATAATGAAGTTAATTATTGCATCATCAATTTGTGATTGAATCACATTTGATGCATTTTTTTATAATGTAAGAGTGTCTGTTGTTTAAATTTCTCAGCCTTTACTTTTTTTTTAATTGTATCACTATAATTTGTTAAATGATCATTAATTTCTTGCATCATACTATCATGAGAACTCTGTAAAAATTAAGGAATTTTTGATAAATTATGCTACAGATAATATTATTTTATTAAATTGGTAATAGCAAAGTTATGACTTATAAAATAATTCTAAAATCAGTGTTTGGCAGTACCACAAATACTTGTATCTAAGATACAAGATCCTTTTGTATCTTGTACTCAGTACTTTTTGACATTTTTAACTAGTCTGAAAAGAATCTTTTTCTTGACAAAAGATATATTCTTTTAATATTTGTTTTTTAAAATTTTACATATCACAGTATATATCTTATTTTCCCCTATTTTAAATACATTGATAAACAAAATTAGCTCCCATAAAAATACTAGTTTCCCTTTCATATCTATGCTAAGAATGGACTAATACTAATATTAAAATGCCTTATTATAATTAACTATATATATATTATATTATGTAATTATTTTTACTTAGAACAATTAAAATAAATTATTAACTGGCTATATAGTTATACATATTATATAATATAAAATAATTAATGTTACAATCAGATGTCTTTTTAAATTGCAGCTTGAAGATGTTGACACTGATATAATACTTTTTGGACACATTTTACATTTGGTAACTGTTGAATTACCTTTTGATTTTAAAACAGTGAAATATTTTTGATATTTGGGCCATGGTAATTCTAATTCATCTAATATTGAATTTTGATTTTCAGAATCTGATGATGAAATATTTATATCCATGCAAATTCTAATCTATTAAATTAAAATATAAAATATTCAAATTAATAAACTTTAATCTTATCTTCTCTAGCAGTAGCACGTTATGGTACGTTAATTGCAATATGAAAGAGGAAAAAGTAAAAACAGCTGATCAAAAAATATAAGACTTTTTTGTTAAAAAATTGGATTAAATATTAATTTTTTAAATAAATAAAAATATAAGACTTTTTTGTTAAAAAATGCGGATTAATATTAATTTTTCAAATAAATAAAAATAAAAAGTGTTTTTAAAATTGAACGAACGTAAAATTGAACGCGTTCATCAAAGAAAAGGAACGCGTTCACGTTCAAAGTTCGTCAAAAAAAAGGAACGCCGTTCATCACCTTTTTTCAAAAAAACGAACTTCGTTCAACAACACTAATTATTATATGTCATTTCCCTCTATAAGCAACAATTTTAGGTCAAAGCATCTACTAAATAAGTATTTTTATTACTGAAATATGTATACAATATGCGCGAAAAAAAATTATTTATAAATTTTTATATTAAAGTTACATTATTATACAAAATAATTATAAAAATGTAAATAAAGTATACCATATATAGCAAGATAATAATAAAAATCTAAATATATAAAAGAAATATAAATAAATACGGCTTATGATCAGGGTTGCCATGTCTCCCCCCATCACTGGGAGTCTCCCACAATTTTTTAGTTTACCCACATACATCTCACTCCCACAATTTTTTAATTTCTCCCACAATTTTTTTTTAGCATTTTAATGTTTCTAATATATAAATAATAATTTTGAGAGACAGTATTTGATTATTTTTAAAATAAATTTTAAATATTTATTCGAAAAATATGACTACTTCTTTTATTTTATTTTTCCGCTCTAAAATATATTTTTTATAAAATTCTCCACTCGACATTTTCAAAATTTTTGTGTTAGAAAGAATAGAAGTTAGAACAGTATGTATAATTATTATAAATATATTTTAAATTACTTAATATATTTTATATCGTTATCTAGAATTGCAGTGCTCCACTCGACATTTTCAAAATTTTTGCGTTAGAAGAATAGAACTTTTAGAAGTGGATATTATTCTAATCTCTAATTCTTTTATTAGTGGATGAATAATATTGATTAAATAATATTTTCACTACTTACTTATATACTATTCCATAAAGTATATGTCAAGCAAAAGATTATAAATATAATTGATATATTATTCAACAATAGCTCAGTTATAACAAACGACATCTACCAAATATTATCATTTTAAAAATATGCGTACCATCAGCATATAAAAATTAGGATATGTTTTTAGTTCATATAAATCATTTTTTTAATAAAATATCACTTTGATAATTAATTTTTCTTTAAATATCCTAACAAAATTGATTATCTTTTTATATTTTATATACTATAGAATCCGAGAAAGTGAATAAAAGATGAAAATATATATGTGAATATAACAAGTTATGGGAGCAAAAATATGTTTTGATGAGGCTTACGGATAGCCATGCTAAATGTAGAATATGTTCTGCAGTATTTAGTTACTACAATGGGGGGGGGGGAATATGATATAATTGACCTTCTGGATTTATATCCTAAAACATTGATGATAGCCTTGCTCATTTGTGTTCTACAAAGTATACTTTTCATTTATATTAGTCGTTAAATATTATGGGGAAAGATTTTACCAACATTGTGATGTTAAGTAGTTCTCTGAATGTTGTACTGCATGATATGTATTTACCATTTCCGCAACTGTAGTTTCATCTGTATTATTTCTTATTTTTGAAGAATATTTTTGTTTTGCAATAGATGTTGATAGACTGCCCTGTACTGATTTATGCTTTGAAGATTTTTGATGCCTCAAAATATCATATTCCCTTCCCCCATTGTATTAACTAAATACTGTAGAACAACTTCCCCGCACTGATTATAATTATTTTTTACATTGTAAATTTAAAATTGTTTGTTTTTTTATAAAATCTTATTTATACATTAGCATAAAATATATTTTGTTACATTGTAAAATTACAATTTTTTTATAAAATTTTATCTTGTTTACATTCTTTTGTATTTAAAAAAGATCGTTGGTTTTTATTTTTAAACAAAATTAATATATTTTAATAAATCAATATGTTATTTTAATAATAAAGATAGTATTTAAGAAATTTTGTGTCGTACTATAATTACCTATTTTGAAAAATAAAGTTGGATATTTTATTTTGAAAAATAGTTGGCTATTTTATTTTTGAAAAATAGTTGGCTATTTTATTTTAAATAGTTGGCTATTTTATTTTGAAAAATAGTTGGCTATTTTATTTTGAAAAATAATTACCTATTTTATTTTGGAAAATAGATTCGATTTTTTATTTATAAAAAATAATAAGCGGATAACTAAGTCAATTCTAAATCCCGGCCCCCGCAAATTTTTTTTTTAGCAATTTCCATATTTCTCCCACAAAATACCGAATTTCTCCCACAATTTGAAAATTTTGACCTGGCAACCCTGGTTATGATTGTTGTTTTATAAAATATGAAACATTATCTAAAAAAGGATATATTTCATTTGTACGCTCGTATATACGAGTTAGATTATCAATGTTAATATTTAATTGAACGTATTTTTTATTTTTTCTCCTCACGTTCAACCCACTATTGATTTGTAAGACCTTAAGCTCACTCGAATGTTTGTGTCTTTTTAAAATATTTATCAGACAATAAATATTTGGATGAGCCACGTTTGTTTTTCTCTTGAGGGCATGATGATACCCCTCCAGGTGGTTGTTTGTTCTAGGGCCGTCAACTTGATACCTAAATTGATTATAAGTAAAGTTAATATTTAAATGTTTTAATTACCTGGTCCATATATTTTGGGGGAATATGGCATTAACTCCAAGCTATGTAAAATCCATATACTCCATAAAATTTTTGAGCAAAGGATATTCAGCAGACAGAGCATGGCATGATGCCCGTACCTCAGAAATATGTTCTTTTTTGCAAAATGGCAAAGTGGTCATTCGTCTAACAACTTGATGAATGGTAGTATTATGCAAATAACCGCTAACTAAACCCAGCGCCTGACATTTACGCTAAAGAGCCTGGGATTAGTGAAAAAAACAGCCTTAATTTTTTTAATTATAATATACAATGTTATAAATAAACCTTTTATGGACATATTGGGAAAAACAAACCTAAGTGCCGATATAGCTGAGGCCTCGTAATCAGTTTGTCCAAATCAAGGATTGAATCGGATATTTTTCATCGAGCAAAATTGCAAGATAATTTGAAATAATTCAATATATGTCCCTCTATTTTTCTCGGGGAGGAGGGCATATATAATCGGTATCATAACTTCTTAATACATTATATGGATACTATACAATTGACAGTACAGTCGAGGAACGACATAAAAGATGCTGTCATGCTATCACCATCACATATTTCTACAAGTTTTAGCATTTCACATGTACCAAACACAAGCATATTATTATCATTATTAATTAAAAAAATCTCCCCCTTATTTGTGGTGATGTATTCTAGTAATAATACTAGTTCATCCACAGACTGAGTCAAAGTGGGCCGATTTTTTTTGTAACAATCTGTCAATTATACTCTTAATTGAAACAAATGAGGGCATTGCCTCTGGATACATTTCGATGGAGGGCGTTTCCAGGCATCTTTTATTCAAGGCCTTTTCATAAATATTGTGCCTTGTCTCTAGAGGATTTTCGGCAACAATATCCTCTAGAACCTTGTGAGTTTTCAGTTTTTCAAACTGACCAATTTCATTTTGGTGTTCATGCAAACCATAGGTTGTGTAAATTCCATCAAATTTACATGAAGCCTTGCAGCCAACCTTTCTGCAATGATAGTGTATTCTATCATCTTTTTGATAAGCATATTGATATAAATAATTTTGGAAAAAGAGAAGCAGTTTTCCTTTTTGAGATTTATAAATTGAGGATCTTAATAAATATAAAAATCATATATTAATATGATTAATATGGAGCTCTAATATTTATGAAAAGATCAGACAGAACCAGATACTTAAAAAAATAAATAAAGCAAATAAATAATTATTGATTTATTATTTATCTTTAAAAAAGATGTAATATTTTTTTAATTATTCCAAGATCATGCCTAAATATAATTAAAAAATAGCCTAGCTATATTATACATCAAGGGTTACTATAATATGTCACATTCTGTATTTAATTTTTTTTTAAAATTAATAAAAAAAAATAGCCAAACATATTTTTACCACTAATATTTTGATGTAAATCTATTAACACATTGGCTACTTCTAAAGGGAGATCACCATTACCTATAAATATAATTTAGTAATTGTCAATTAGTGTATTGAATACTTTCAATTCCAACATCTGAATTAATAACATGATAAGCACCTGAATTATTTTGATTTGAGATAAAAGTTTGAAAGGCTATGGCAAAACCAGAAGTTATTTTACAAATGTTAACAGAATATTGTATATATGTCACAGAATTGTATTTACAAATGTTAACAAAATATTATATATATGTCACAAAATTATATTTACATATTATTATTAAATTGTACAATATTATATTTACATAATTATATTAAATTTTAACAAAATAATAGCGTAGATCACAAATTTATTATAATATGTAGTTTTTTTTATAATACAAATGTAAATGAAAATTCAAATTTCATTTGAGACCAAAATATTGAGTAATTATGTTGGGAAAGAAGTTATATTTAGAAGTTTCATATATTTTGATTATAATATTTTGAAAATATATTTATCATATATGTTTACATATAACCCGGATGTGTTGGAAGATAAGAAAATGATTGAAATATGGGAGTATAGATGACCAAGAGCTATGACACAAATGTAAGACATGAGGATTATGAAGGAATGATATCAAATAAATGAAGAGAATTTGGAGATTATGAAAATGAAGCGAATATTATAAATTATATGAAATTATATTTAGGGATAATGAACACGTGGCCTATGAAGAGTGGGCGTGTTGTAGTTTTGTACTATTATGATATATATTTATACATATATATTATAAAATGTCAATCAAAAATATTATTTATTTTTGTTATTTTTCGAGAAGTGATAAAAAATTGACTTTGTTTGTTTTTACTATTAACTTTTGACTTTTTGTGGATTGAATTAATAAAAATTGAGACATTTTATAAAAAAAGAAGAAAAATTATATTGTAATATATTGATATATGAAGAATAGATTTTGAAATAAAAAAATTGAAATTTAATAAATTCAATAATATGAGAAATATTTTAGCAAGGTATTTGTATTAGGTCTTTTTCTTGTTCTTTAACTAGGAAAGTTGATGTCGTAATTCGTCCCTTATTACATTATTTATTTGTCAATATTTTTCTTGAGATTTAAAATTAACCGTTGATATTTATTTTATCAAAATGCTAAGGAATATTGAACATTCAATATAGCTCTTTGTTCACTAAAACTGTTAAATTATACTATTTTAATTTGATCATGTTTCAACAGTATGGAGGTCAATGATATCTGCGTACATTTTGTATTCATCGCTAAACTCCATATTCGACTTTTTTAACATACCCGAATTTTATTTTTGAATTACAAATGAATGCATAAAATAAAAGTAATCAAAAGTTGATTTTCTAATCGGAAAGCATTTTTTTAAAAAAGAAAAAAACCATAAAATACAATATCTGAATGAATCCTTAAGAAATGTATTATTATGATATTCTAAATGCTAAAAAGGAAATATAATAATAATAATAACTTTTAATATAAAATATCTGAATATGATAATAGAAGGGCATAATTTTTTTTTATGTTAAAAAAATATTATTATTTATTTTTTTTGAAAGGGAATATGAAGCAAAATAAGCACTAAATTTAGGCATTGGTTTCAGAATTTATCTAATCATCATTCACGCTTCTATTTTGGTCATAATTTAATATCGGGATACCCTTTGATATTAGTATTAATAAAAATAAGACACTAAATATTGTGAGGGGGGGGGGGATAATTTAAAATTTTATTTCGCCTCCCTCATTGAAGACCTTTGGTGGATTACATTTTTTTGTTTTATTTTCTTCTCAAGATTTATATTATAGACATTATTTTAAGATATGATTAACTTATACACAATTTTTTTTTAAAAAAAATATGGTTAATGATATATTGTATTCATTTATTGGGGCGAAGGGGGGAAATGTTTTGGATTTTTTTTTAAAATTAGCCTTAAATGTTATTTATGAAAACGGCAAATTAAGCAAGGGGAGATTTCTAGTCCCACCCCCACCCAATTACCCCAATAAAATATTAGCTTAGGTTTCCAGGCCTAAATTATTTTATTTTACTCATAACTCAGTATGGGTGATTCCCCCTATATTAGGCTTTATTAATATTAACGCACTAAATATTGGCAGGTGTTTTAAAATTTGTGTCACATTATTCTTGAATCTTGATATTAAAAAGATCAAAATCTTCTTATTTTTCTCATAGTTCACTTTTGGTTGATTCAATTTTCGTTTGAAAAATATGGAGACATAAATTAGGCACTAAATATTTCTACACACAAGAGAATTAGTGCTGTAATTTTTAATTTTGGCTATTTAGATTATAACCCATAAACGGTATCTGTAGATATCCTAATATAATATGAAGGCATAAATTAAGCTCGAAATATTGGTATAGGTTTCCGAAATTATTTCAAGTCATTTTGCCAATTTTACTCTTTCTATTTAGATTATGACATAACTCAATGGTTAATTTTATCGATATCAGGACGAATATATTGGCTTAAGTTTTAGAATATATTTTTAATTATTTTAAATTTTTGCCCGATATCAAAACTTACTTATTCTGCTTATAAATCATAAACGGTTATTATATGTATGATATAAAACACAAGCACTAAATATTATCATTTGTTACAGAATTCTTCTTAAAGTCATTAGTCAGTCTTAGCTATCATCTATTATTTTACTAACAACTTATAATATGAAACAAAAATAGGTGCAATTAAAACATTAAATTTTGGCATAGGTTTCAAAGCATTCCAAAACTTCAGAGACCTTATAAAGTCCTGTTATTTTTATTGTTTATGAATTTATTTAGCGAATGTGGTAGTGTTAATAAATAGGTTTAAATGTATAAATATGATTTAGCATTGATAAGGATCTAAACAAAAATATGGAGATATGATATTTGGGATATCAATAATAAGATTGAGTTAATGAAAGTCATAATTAATGATCACATAGCTATAAAGTACGTTGATAACTTGTTATCTCGGTTAATTCATTTCTATTTTTATATTCAAAGATCTTCTCACGGTAATTAGATTATAATCGATGTAGCTATTGAACCACTTTTATTCGTTATTAGATGCACGCCTGTCTTCCTTTTTTAATAAATTGTCCTACATAGCTAAATCAAAGGCTTGGATTATATTTAACATTTTTTTAAATCTTCTTTCTCATAGTAATAGTACTACACAGTTTTATATATATTCCCTTCGATATTTTCTGAAACTATTCCATTAGTATACAGGATTTTGCTAAGTGGGGGGGGGGGGGGTATTAGATTAATTTTTCCATATGAATTTTATTGGAGATCTTTAGTCCACTTTTGTAAGCTATGGGCTATATTAGATTTTTATAAAAATATGGGTTTTCACTTTTTAATCCTTTTTTTTAAAAAAATCTGAATTTTAGTCGTTATTTTAAAAAGTTATTAACTTTTACTAATTATCCTTTCAAATCTTCCTTATAATGATATATTGCATACATTTTTTGGTAGAGGGGGGTGGGAGGTGTGTAGGGGAGAAAAAAAATTTGCGATGGGTAAAATTCCGCTCACCTCTCCATTGGTTACGCGCATGAACTATTCTATTGTTATTTAACTTTTAGATATCGATATCATTATATTATTTCCCTTTTTTATATAAATTTCTTCAATCTATTGTTTGAGAGCCTTTCGTCAATTTTATTAATATCTATAAATGATTTCTGGCGTTCAAGGAATTTTAATTCGATTTTGTCGTCTTTCTGTGTCATTAATATAATTTAATTTGTAATCACGATCAATCTAGCTTATTTTACCTTTCCCTCTTGTTTCTGGAGTATGTTCTTCTTTTTAAAACATAAGCTAGTTCACATTTTTCCCCATTCAGAGTTTAATATTTTTAAGTAGCCATTTTTATAAGAACTAATTTCTTTAATTCCACTTTAGGAGTAGTGAGATGACCTCTGGTTTTAATTTTAAGTGATACTGGCAAACACAATGAGTTTCTTTGGAGAATACTTTTTTTGTGATCATTTATCGGTCGTGTTTTTTGGAATCGTAATTTTATCCTACTTTTATTTTTAAGAATTGCATACGTATTCAGCTCCATGCAAATTAATTTTTTTGCCAATTTTTGGATAGTTCAAAAATTTTAATCAAAATATATATTATAATTCTTTTATAGAGTTAAATATAATGAAAACGAATTGTTTTGTTTTAATCAGTGGCTACTCTACATAAGACGAGAGTGCGGGGGGGGGGAATAGGGGCCATTTGTAATTAAATTCGAAATCCTTCATTCACATATAATATTTTAGTAAGATTTGAATTTATACACGCCTGTGTCATTTTTAGATAATGACTAGTAACAAAAAGTTGAATCACCAAGCTATTATTTATGTGCTATTTTTAGCCTAAATTATGATACCTGAAATAGTTTTAATTAGGATGTTTTTGGGATTTTATAAACAGTGGCTTATTTAAATATTTTTAGTATATTGGTTGGACGAATATCTCGGCCGAAGTAGAAACTTTATTTTATGGGTTAGGGGTAGATAAAGGGGGGGGGGTTTGCCTCCAACGAATTTTTGGTCATGTAGACTTCTACTAATTCCATCAAAATTTTATTTTTAATAAAAGAAGATAAACATGAATTATTTTTTTAATCTCGGCCCGATTTTAGTAACACCTACTCAATTCTTTAATCATAAAACCCGCGGCCCGATCCTGATCTCATTACAAATTGCAAAGACTAGTGTAAACTCTTGATCTAGGAAGTAAACTAACTATTAATCATTTATATTTCGTGACCATAGCTATAAGTAGAAGAAAGAAATATTGAAATTTGTACAGTTCTAAAACGCTTTATTCGTTTTTTTAAAAATAATATTTTTTTGAAGAAATCGTAGGTCACACTGCAAAACCTCTTAGGTGATAAATTTTTTAAAATATGTTTTTTTGCAGAAATGTGCTTATTCATAGTTCTTCTATCGCCTTTCAAAAAATTGAACATTATTAGAAACCCAAAAATGTCTATATTTTAACAAATTTTATTTCATGAAAAAAGATTATGAGGCATTTACATAAAATGTATGAAGTTATATAATAATTATTAGAAACATGTTTTTTTATAAAATTATTAATGAATAAATAGAAATTTAAAAAAAATACTGTTTAATCATTGTTTATACTATTATAGAATTATCAAAATACTTAAATATTATTAATAAAGATATGTTGGGTCAGTCCTCCTTTTTTTTGTCTAACAACCTACAATATCTTCTTCCACGGACCGATGGCAAGCTTAATTTTTTTTGTGAAATTAAGGGCCACAATTTTCCAATTTTCTTTTCAAGTTCCTCTAAAGATCCAAAATGTAGCCTTTTTATAAACGAAAATCTTAAATTTGAAGTTGAAGTTGATAATCCAGTAATTTAGATCAGGGATGCTAGGGGGTGCCATTAAGTAGATTTTATAAATTGTGAGCAATTCGATGACAAAAATTCCTGTGTATAAAGCGCTATGCGAAGGAGCGTTATCTTGCATTAATTTTATATTTAATCGGCTAATAAGGCCTGACACTGTGGGAAAAGTTTTTTCGGGTGTTTGATATAAACATCAGAATTAGTCTTTATTCTTTAAGGATTAAAAAAACATAATTTTATGAGTATAAGAACTTCTTTTGATAATATTTTCAACTTACAGAATTATCATTTTTGTTAGGTGTTAATAAAAACTTGTTTGATAACCTAAATATTATAATTTATAATTATAAAAAAATTTGTTAAAAATCAACACATAAGAACCTATCTAGCCCGTTTTTGAAAAAAAATTGAAGGTCGAGTTATTTTATTACCAAAAGCATTTTATTTATCTCACTTTTCTATAAACTCGATATATTTTTTATAAGATTTGCTAATACATAGTTCCATATATTCTTTAATAAAATACGAATATTAAAAAACAGTGACACTTAGTGGTAGATATCAAACTCTATTTTTTTTTGATAAACATAGTATAAAAGATTGTTCAAAATTTCTCATTCAGATTTAAAATTAATATTCGTGTTATTTGTGACAGCATAACTATAGTTATAAAGAAATTAAGAAAAGTTGACCAATGATTTCAATTTTAGAAATCGATAAAGGGAAGAAATTTAAGCTGTTAAATTATTGTCAATTAATCAAATAAAATATTAAAATATATGACAAATGAAAGAAAACGATGCTCCTGAGATGACACTATCGAAAAAACTTTTCACGTCCCTAAGATGGAAGAGCTAGCTATATATTTCCTCTTTATATCAGTTTAAAATCGGTTATACTATTAAAATTATAATTATCATGTCCAATATAATTATTTATTTGTTAAAAACTTTAATTTGCAAGTACATCTACATATTAAATATAATTACAATACATTAATATTAACTTAGTAGTATACACATATTTATAATCTTTACATAGAAAAGGTAATTTGGAAGACAGTTTGAAACTACTATTATACCTATATTATAACCAATTTAAAAAAATCTTCTTACATCTATTAAAAAAATAATTTCTACTCTTCTCCATAATAATATGCGTATTGTTGTTGATCTTCTCCGGGTGGCATAGATGGTGGAATGGCCATTTTATGGGTATCTTTTTGATGCATATTAGTACTTGTGAGAGCTAGAAACTTCTCAATCGCTTCCGATTTTTTAGAATGAGTTGTAACGGGAACGATAGGTATAGGCGAGGCATTAATATTTTCGAGTTTATTTGGATATTTATTTAATAGCGGATCGTGGACAGAATTATGCTCTTCTTGCTTATTTTATTTACAAAAAAAAATGTTTTAGAATAATCGACGGATATTTATTTATATATTGGTTTTATATATATATGCTTTTAATTTTTAGGCATTTATACACGATTTGCATATAGAAACAAATACTTAATCAATTGAACAAAAGCGTGCTTAGCAATTTATTTTAACTGAGTGCATCCAAAACAATTTTTAATTTAGAAACACACTTATTTGACCCCTTTTCACGTACTTAAATTATAAGAACTTAATTTCACTCACTTGTTAATCATCAAATTCAAAATTTTATATATCAAGGATTCAAATTTGAATATTCCCAACATACTTTTTCCATTTCTATCTTCCAAAATATAAGTCTTAAATCTCCAAAAGATATTAGTTTTTAAAAAATCTCTTAGCCTTATATTTAAAAATTTTAAAAGATTGTGTCACTAACTTCTATCATTTAGGTTTGTTAAGAAGTTAATTCTTAATTTGTTTAGGGCTGCTCAAAAATAAACGTTTCTTTCTATATAAAATATTTTAGGTTTGTGATTCTATTTAAATTTAAACCTGCTGAATCTGATTTTATCCTTACTTAGCGAAACCATTCTACCAAATAAATTATATTGTAATCTAGGTATATCACAAAAACTGTGCATGGTTACGAAGAATCAACGGAATTATTTACGATTTTCACATATATATATTATATAAATGTACAGTAGATAAAAAAAAGATCAATAGATTAGATAGTAGAATGTAATGAAAATATTAACCTAAATAGTATATATATATATAGGCCGGGATGCATCCATTTCTAGTATTATACATATTTGTATTGGGATATAGAATCCATGGCCAATAAAACAGATTTCTAAACTTTAAATATCTAACTTAACCTGAAATGTATTTCAGTATGTATGGAGTACCAACATTGCGAATTTCAAATTATTTTGCCGTGAAATTTAAAAAAACTCTTTTAGAATTTTAAATATAAATTAAAAAATATACAAACCTTTATGGCGAAAATTATCTGAGATTGTATGTACTCTACACATTTGGCAAAATCAGAATTTTTAAATTTTTAAATAGTAAATGATTCGAAATTAAGAGTTTCCAAATCTCAATGGACTCTATATCGTATATATTATGTAATAACGGTTATGATCTACTGGAATTGGATATAAAATATATCTATAGGTGCGGATCCAGGAATAGAAAGTGGTTTAAAAAATAAAATCCATTTTAACAAAAACGTATACTCAATTTTTATGTTTATTTTAAAAAAAAATGATATAAAAAGGTTTCAAAACTATAAATATTTTAAAGTGAAATATGCAAAAGTGGTATGTAATATGAACATGCCAAAGATTAAAATAATATAGAAAATAATTATGGGGGATTCTCTTGGCATGTATTAATGTCGACGAATACTTATTAAGGAAAAGCTTTCCACCTTTGCAGTATCATTGTGCTTCTTAAACAGCTCTTCAATCTTATTAGTTTGAAAATATTTTTCAGCCTCAACCCTTTCTCTATACATCTGATTTTTTAACTTTGTGTCTTCTGAAAATCTCCCACTAACCTGCGAAAGAACATCATCAAGTGCAATTGAAATTAAAAATATTCTTCTGCGTTATCAGCAAGATAACTATGCAACAGTTTTTCTAATTAAAAAAGGCTAAGTATAACATTTATTGGAAAGATTTTTAAAAATATTATATTGAAGCAACAATCTGTAATTCTAGGTCTCGTTTCTTTAGCCCCAACCATTTCTGCAATAAGTTTTACCTTTTGATTAGGATCTTTTTTAAAATTATCAATTTCCTCATACAATTATTTAAGTATATAAATAGAATAATATAATTTTATTTAATACTAACGCGATAATATTTTCAAATCGTTGAAGCGTATACAGAATGCCATTCGCCTTTGTTCCCGATTCTGAATATCAATTACAATCCTTTCCAAGGAGATAATAGTGAGATTCTTCATCATATAAATATGGATATGATATCGAATCACAATTTTATCAATTAATTGTATCGAGTTCTCAAATTTTCAAAGCGTTCTATACAACTTATCTTACATAGATCTTTGATTTTTTGTCATTTGTAGGATTTAATTAGTATTCTGCTTTTTAAAAATTATTTAAATTTCCAATTGCCCTTTTCTAATATTTTGTTTCTAAGCGGTTATCTTTTCCAGTTCATCTAATAAATTTAATTATTACCTAAAATTATTTAAATTTTTTTACAAATCTTTATTAATTTTTGTTCTAAGATATTGTGTTTATTTTGATATCCTGGAATAAAATGGAAAACATTTAAAATGTAAATAAGTATTTTAGATAAATTAAAAAAATTATAAAAAGTATAGTTGGTCAAACAAAAGGATAGATAGATATTAAATAATAATTCCAAATATCGCAGTTTTAAAAACTGCTTTCTCAAGGAGTAAGTTACAACCCCTGAGTCCCTCCCCTGGATCCGCGCATTTCTATTCTCTAAAATTTATGTTTTGCTAGACTATAACGATGTACTACTGGTATATATTCTTTCATTTTAATCCTTATACTCAATGGATGATAATAATTTTTAAAACACAATATATTAATATTTTATACCATGGATGCGAACCCGGCAAAATTTTTACCCGGGTTCGGGTTCGGTTTAAAGTTAAAAAAAATAGGTTGGTTCTGTTCGGGTTCGGTTCAGGGAAATATTTTTGAACCCGGGTTTGGTTCCGGGTTCAGCTCGGGTTTAAGAAATTTTTAAATTAATAAAAAAAAATATTCTATATTTAAATCATAATTAAAAAACTAGACATAAATTTGGTATAAAAAATAATTTTTTATTTTATTTATAGGCAAATATAGTTAAAAATACAAAGCAAAGTCATGTATAGATTCAAAAAATTTTATTTAGACATATTTCTTTAAATTAAAATATCCAATATAATAATTTTTACATTGACTTGTTCATTTTCATTTCTAATTAATAATCTTTGAGAATAAGTTAAAAATTAAAAATAAATGGCGTAAATGAATTTAATTGTTTAAAATTTATTTACAATCCAATAGGAATCTTTGAGAATAAATTTTAAAAATTTAAATATGGAGTAAATGAATTAAGTTGTTTAAAATTTATTAACACTTCTTAAATGGAAATTTGAAAATATTATAAAATGTCAAGGAAATTATTAATATTTGTATTTACAATTATACAAATATCTTATATTAATTTATTTAAACAATACATTGAACCCGGGTTCAAATAAAATTCTCGGGTTCGGGGGGTTACCCGAGTTTTCTTCTTCGGGTTCGGTTTGAACCCCTGTTTTATACCTTTTTTGGTGGAAATATATGTGTATCACAATTTATTTATTATTAAGTGAGCTGATGTTGTTAGTATATATTAGATACCATCGAAGGTGGGGGGGGGAGGGGGGGTAGCATAAAAATCATAGGCGATTGAGGTTAAAAATAATTATCAAATATTTTTACTTAATTAATTAATTTTCTTTTACATTATATAATATTGAATAACTCCAAAATAAGGCATTGGGTATAAAATAGAAATAGGATTTAGAAAATAGAAATAAATTTACTAAAATTATATTTAAAAAATTGATCAGGTCAAGTGAATGTCTTAATGCTCTAACCTCGGTTCCCTTTCTAAATTGCTAAAACAAAAATTGTTAAAATTAGGAAACTCGTTTATACCTCCTAGAAAATTTTAAAAGTTGTATTAAAAATAATTATATTAAGTGCCAGGGAAAAATATCATTAAGATTCCCCAATTTGAAATGTTGAACACATTTCCACATTTATAGCGATTTTTTAAGAACTCCAAATATAATTGTTTAATCCCCTATCATCTTATTATTCTCAATATTGCTTTAAAAAAATCTATAAGAGATATAAGCGAGATACCCAATTCTTAGAGGTTTTTGTTGGATTTAGTACTTATTCCCTAGGTTATAGTTTATTATATATTTTGGAAAAATAATAATTTTGCACACGAAAACTATAAAACCAGGGATCAAACCAAACCTGAACCGAACCGCTAAAATGCCTCTGAACCGGTTCGAGCCTCATGATTTTATGTGTAAGTTATTACTTGCAAAAATTTTAAATATATTAGAATTGTTTCAAAGATTATCATCAATCACATTTGATTGATAAGTGTCAGTCATAATTTTTATAAACTAGTATATTGCCATTTTACTGCATTTTTTAAATATTTTAAGCTTATAAATTATAATGCCTAGAGAAAATTAAATCCAATACATAAATTATTTACATATACTATTATAAATGACACATCAAATAATATTACTAATTGTCAAATAAATATGAAAGGCCATCATAAATCTTGAGCGTCACCTAAAAAGAAACTATCATCTAGAATTCTATAAAATTAACAAAATGTCACAACAAAAGCCTAATAAAATAAAAAGTTTATCTCACTAAGCCAACAGACGATAGAAGAAGCATTAAAAGATCAAACAGTATCAGTAAAACTAAATAAAATAAATAATAATCGATGCTAGTACTGAGTTGCCCACTTTTAATGGCAGACCATTCAAATTAATCGATGATAACGGTTTTAAAAAAATTCTTGATCCTATATTAGAAGACGGTAATACTAAAATTAATTCTCAAATATTTAATCAAATATTGTAGAATAAGTCTTAAGTATTTGGCAAAATATAATCAAAGAAATTAATGGTAAGTTATTATCTCTAAAAATTGAATGTCGTCTAGACAGGTCCATTATTGGGATTAATCTTCAGTATATTCAAAAAGCAAAAATTGTTTTAAGAACACTAGCAATTAAAGAAACTTTTGAACGACCCACTACAGAAAATTTACAAATACTTTTAATTAAATGATTATGAAATCAAAACATCTCAAATATGCACAATAACAACTGACAATGGGGCAAATCTTATTAAGATAATAAAATTATTCTTTGAGGATAGTGATGAAGACAATCAAATGCCTGAAAATGATGAAGAAGAACAAATACAAAATATAGATTTGAACACAAATGTACCTGATGTTAACAATCAATCTTAATGATTCTCAATATAATATTATAAATATAAGATGTGCTTCTCATACCTTACAACTTGTAATCATGCATTAAAAAATTGCTCAGTTTCTAATATAATTATTAATGCTCGTGCTGCGTGCAAGAAGCTAAGGACAAAATAGATATCAATCATAAAAAATTTAACTTAGAAAGATCTATATTGGCTTATCATAGATTGTTATCAACCTATGACATGCAAGAGAGATTGAATGAATTAAAAGATATGTGTGAGGAATTATCAGTATCATACATGAACTTTATTTTACAGCTTTGGAATGGGAAGCAATTATAAGGTTGATAAATAAAGCCAATTATAGTAGCTACCAAGAACTTACAACTTGGGCAGATAACCTTAGGGGATTTTTATGGCATATGTCTAAAAGTTAAATTAGACATTTATATTTTACTTAACCCTTTGCTGGTTCAATAATAACTATGAATTTTAGAGAGAAACAACTTTTAAACAACAATGCCTTTTGTCATGCCTATATTTATATTTAAGCTATGTTTTAAAAATATATTATATCTTATATAAATTTAATTGATAATTTTATTTACCTTAATTTATAATTTTATTTTACTTTATATATTTTTATATCTATTCATAAAATAATAAGATTTTTTTAATGATATTATATAGATATCAACCAACTGCTTCTGACTAAGAAAAACCAAGTCTAGAGAGCATATTATTAAAATATGGCATAACATTGAATTAAACTATTTTATAAGAGTGGAGCATTCTAGTGAAGGTGAATCAATGCCGGTTAATGTATCTTCATCTAAAAAAGGATTTAGTAGAAAATCTTCTTTAAAAAAAGATGGTAACAAACAAAATCTGTTAAAAAAATCGGAGAATATTAGAAATATTTTAGTTAATTTTTCTAAAGAACCTAGGTTAAATAAAACTATGAATATTTTAAACTATTGGAGAAATCAGAGTAATCGATGCCCAGAATTATGTAAATTGTTTCATACTGGCAGTGCCAGCTACTCAAATTAGTGTGGAAAGATGTTTTTCAACAATTAAATTTATACCATCTCTTTATAGATGCAATTTGAGTGAGACGAATCTTGAAAATATATTAATTGTGAGGCCTAATAAAAAAATTTTAAGTAAATAAAGTTAAATATTGTTCATATTAAAATTAATCATTGATATTTATTTGAATTATTTATAATTTAAATATTATTTTATAATATGCAATTAATAAAAATGAAGGTTTTATGTATGTGTTTTTTATTTTATGATGAAATAAAAAAAAATATACCTCCCTATACATAATTCGAATGTAGATTTGAATATAAAAATGTTTAAGCCGGTTTTTAGAGGTTCGAGCCGAACCGATATTTTAATTTTTTACAAACCGAACCTGAATCTTGAACCGTTATTTTTATCCGAACCTGAACTGAACCGATATTTGTTTCGGTTTGGATCCCTGTAAAAAACTATCCTATTATATTTGATAAATAAAATTAAAATACATAAAGCTACTACTATTATTGTTAATTAGGACATAATAAGATTATCTATATATAAAAATTAAAGTTCTTCCAATATGGTAAAAAGAAAAAATAGCTTAAAGCATATATCATGATATAAGAAGATATTTCATGGGATTTTTTTTTAACCATTTTACATAGTTTTTAAGAACTTTTTAATATTAAAATATTTTGATATTTTTCTTGCGTTTAAAATGGATTCATTAAATTAACATTAATATTCTTTTACTGTTTATGATAATAATAAAAATTTACTAAAGTAATAATTTAATAATGAATTAGATTATTTTATGGAGGAAAATGATGGACTATGGTACCAATTAAATCAAAGTTACACAAATAATTTTAATTGATGAATTACAGACCTCATGGTTTAAAATCTTTTAATTTATATAATCCATATATTAATATCTCGTTCTTTATAAATAATGCTCATTTTTGCTCTTATACCTAATAAAAAATTTTTTCATTACAAAATATTTCATAATCAGCTTATATTAAAAATAAGGGTGTTATCTAGAAGCAATTAAATTATGAGAAACATTTTTAAACTACCGCATTAAAAACGCATTGTTAGGAAGATGCCTTAAAATTTTGATTGTATCTCTAACATTGACCCCAATTAGGAGAGACTAGGATAAAACGATCGATATTTTGCATTTTTACCATATTAAAACAAAAGTAAAACAGAATAAATTATAGTTTATTATATAGCCCAATTCTTTAACTACAAAAGTAAAAAAAATGAAGCTCTCTAGCTATAATACTTTAGGAGTTATAAAAAATTCTGTGAAATCAGCGATTTATGCAATTGAACCCCGTGTCCAGTGTAAAATGACTAAGCACTTGGTAGTGGTTAAAATAAAATTGAACATAACTTTATTGTTTTATTGAATAAAATATTAGAAATTTTGACATATATTTATTACTTTTTTGTAAACTAATATATAATAAATTACAATAAGGGAATATAAAAAAATTATCAAAAATATCATTCAGCCCGATTAAGATTTTAGCCAAAATAATATTATGTAAGTCTATATTTTTCTCATAGATGGCAGAAAGGTTTGGACCACTATTTGCCAAATCTCGAGGCCTACATAATATTATTTTGGCTAAAATTTTAATCGGGTCGTTTTAAAGAATCGTCCCAAATCGGGCGCTCTAACAACACTAGTGTCCATTTTAGGAACTTCGTATTTTTTAAATATTCTTTATTTTAGCGATTATTTTTTAAATTTTAATTTCATATATTACGCAGACTATTATAATGTTGCATTTTTCAAAAATATTTTTATATTGTTTAAAGAGTAAATATTTGAAAATTTGTTTTTTTGCAGCTTTAATCAGATGGAACATTTTCACCGTTTTACCCATAGCTGTTTTACCCAATATTTATCAAATAACTCATTATTGCATGACTTCTAACTAAGCTAAAAACTTTCAAAAATTAGAATTTAAGCAACCTATGTACAACATTATAAATCATTAGAATTATAATTTGTTAAAAGAAAAAAAAATACTAATTAGGTGATTTTAAAAATTTATGTATTAAAAAGAGGTTTTTGGAAATATATATCAAACCAAAGCAAACATTTGTCAAAAAAAATAGGTAAGAAATTATATATAAAAATACATCTTTATTTACAACAAATTTAATGTCTTTATACTCAAGGGCTAAAATTATTCACATCCTATCAATCGCTTTACTCTGGTCTCCCTTATTTGGAATAAATAGTATTAGAATGAAATTGATTGATTTCAATGTTAAAATATAAAATATATCCAAACTTAAAAATAAACCTGTCTCTCTACTGTACAGATAATGTTAGAATGTATATAGCTTCTTTTTTTAAATTTAGACTCACCCTGCATTTTAAAAAAATAATTATACTATAGCGTAAATATAATATTGATAAAATAACTGGAATATGAATATTTATTAATGATTGGTATCTTGAGTATAATAGAGGACTTCTAAATAATTTCTTTTGGAGAAAGATTAAAAATTAATGAGATATTTTATTGAATTCATGCACACACAAATTATACACCATAAATGTCTGTATGATATAATCATGCTTATTTTACTTATAGCCCACTTATTATTTATTCTACTTAGTTTTTAAAGCACTAATAGATTTTAAATTAATTCCTATATGTAACTGTTAAATCAGTGTTTTAGTATTTTTGTGAAACATGCAACATTTGTTGCTTATAAAAAATTAACCAATATAATTTTAGCACATTCTGAAAAATAAATGATTAGAAAATATTGATGAAAACTAATTAATTTAGTCATTTTTAAACTCAGGTAATCATTTTGAAAATATTTTTATTCAAAAACGAGCCATAAAGATTAACAACGTTCTCTTATTAAATTTATACTTTCTTCAAATTCCGCACAAAATTATATATATAATAATATTTTTTCCGGTCATGGGTTATACTTTATTTGAATATTTACTGATATTGTATAAAGATCTGCTCATATTAATTTTTTAGGTTTCAAATATATGTTCGATATATTTATTTAAAAAAATAATGTAAAAATATTCCATAATAGAATTTTACTTTGGTTAACGAGTCCCTGGGGTCTAATTTGTTGGTTCATAGGACTGTTTTGTTGTTGATCTAGGATTGCATAATCGTAACCCTTTCTCATCCAACTATTTTCATATGCATCAGGGGCAATTTTTAGATCTTCTGGCATATCATCAATTATATCCATTATCAGTTCTTCTCTACTCTTAACTTTAGCCTGCATCGATGCTTCGGTGCTTATTTAATAAATGGGAAAAATATGATATGTAATATAAATATATAAAGAAAATATGCTGAAAAAGAACGATAAAAGATTAAGCTACTTTTAAAATTATATTCATTATAATTGTATTATAAAAATTAATAACTAATTTGAAAAGATATAAAAAGAAAAAGGATAGCTAGAAATTAGTCTAGTCATGATTTTTAGTCTATATTATGTTATATATGATGTGAGTGTGACCTTTTATATATTGAAGAATAAAATGAAATTGAATATCAAAAAATTTTTATCATTAAAAAACATATATCATCTAAAGTTATGTATGTTATGTAATAGTTTTAGATTTTTTTTTTTTGGGGGGGGGGGAGGGGATATAAAGAATCATATGTTTAGGTATTATTGACCAAGGAGGTGTGAGGCAAAATAATAGCATTGTAAATTTAATACATCGGTAATTAGCGATATATTAATATAAAGTTTAGATAGAATGATTACTAGTTTCGACATCGACATAGTGTTTATCCCCTCTCCCCCCATACATAAACGAATTTTAAGAATATAAATTTGGCATTTTCTATAAAGTAGAACTTAAATTATAATTTACTGTATATTAATATTAAATTATATAAATATGTGTCTAATTTTTAAAAATTGATACAAGATATATTTATTTATATCTCTTTTTATCATGAAACCTATCATATTTTCTCGAAATCCCAAGGCTGGAAACTTTTTTCTCCCAGACCCTAATTGGCAGATATTGGCCCGCTTCTTCTAGCAGCCTAAGGCATCATTGGTGGCTTATAACTATAGTTATCATGATAACATTATATTTATTTAAATGAAATTCAATAACTTTTTATCATTTTATAATACATAAGTATTGCATAAAATAATTTTTTTCACTCTTATAATATCCAATGTTTTAATAAGTATTTATTTATATATTTATTGTTAAATATAATTTTGTGGGTAAATCTAAAATTAACTGTAATCGATATCTGCAGGTAAGCATGCAGGATATTATGAAGGATTATTTAACATGCATACAAACTATATAGAGGATCTTTATAAAAATATTAATTTTTTAATATAACTCAAGCAGAAAAACACTAATATGACAACTAATGTCTATGGTAGAAAAATATTTTAAAATTAATTTTAAGATAAATTCTTATGAATTATACATTAAAGTGCCTTAAGAAGAATTATTTTAAAAATATTATATATTTCTAGAATAATGTAACTTCTACATAATAAAGATCTTTATAATATTCATGTTGCTCAAATGATAGTTTATCGATTTTTTAAATATTATATTAGAACTTCTCTAGTAAAAACTCCCAAATAAAGTTTTTTTTATAAAATAATATTTATATAATGTCATTATTTCTGGTTTTAGAATAATAAATCATATATAATGTAATGTTACTCAGATTTAATACCATATTAAAAATTAATAATATTTATAATGGACCAAGATTTTTAAATTTTCTTTTGATTTTTATAATTCATATAACTTTTTGGTTTACAAATAAATGAGTGGTTGGAAGAAAAACTCTTTCTCTCCTCACCATGGAATACATGATTAGGTAAAATTGTGTTTTATAATATTTTTGTATTGATATCAAAGCGAAAGTATACTTTTTTAATTTGTAAAACCCTTTCTTAGATTTTATAATTCTAAACAATACAATAGCCACATTTCTTATAATAAAATTTTCACATAAAAATATCTGTAATAAATTATAAATTTGGGACTTAATTGTCCTGCTGGCCAAAAAGACACCGGACAAAAAGGAGTCAAACAAAAATACCCTCCGACAAAAATAACCCAATTTTAATAAATTTTTAAAATTCGAGAGGGGATTATTTTTAAAAAATTTAACAATTTATTCTACACAGCTCTAAGTAACTGTTGGATTTTATCGAATTTAGTAGGTTTGGTGTCTAATAAAATTAAGTATTTATCACAATCTCCTTTTATGCTTAGATTACCATAGCCCATCAGGCCTTGCCATCAATGCATAGCAATACATTTAGCCAACATCTAAGCATTTCCTCAGTACTCCTATGTGCATGGTTTTTTAGAAAAATGTATGCAAAAATGCACAGCGCACTTTATCATTAGTTTATTTTTATTGAAAAATAAACATATGTGCAAAGAAATTGATAATTTTTTTAATTTAAAAAAGGAACTCTTACCACAGAAGCTATAATTTGTATGAGATATACGTTTGAACTTTACCATTTTTGAATGTAAAGGTGCACGTGATATTTTTATTACGTTACTTAACAATCGCTCAACCTTAGTTTAACGTAAAAATCATCTATTGTAATCTTTTCCCATTTCACCGTAACTAATCCATCTTATTTTGGTATCGCATTTTCCAAAGATGTCACAACTCTATTTGACTTCTTTTTTATGCAATTGCTACTAAACATTTAAAGTAAAGGGGCAGGCATAGACATTGAGTCTCTTATTTCAAAATACCACAAAAAGTTGATTTTTTTACCATGTATGATGTTTTTTATATATTTCGTTTATTTCTTTTTGTTATTATATATAATCATTTTAATGCTTCTATATTTTTCGTTCATCTTATCTTGATACCAATTTTAGAATTACTTTTATTTTGCAAATAACTTTTATTCATACTGTTTACCAAACAGATTGAAGTATTAATGTATTATATTTAAGCATTAAATATTGGCATAAGCTATAGGGCTTTAAAAAGTTTGATAAGTTTAGGCTTAGGACTGCGTCTTAATATGAGATAGATTCATATTAAATTTTTGAAAATATAATTCGATTTAAAATATTTCGATCTATTGAATAAACTAAAAGAACAAATTATATCGATTATAGAACCATAAGATTCAAAAATATAATCATGGAAAAAGAATCCTTAATATATTTCGACGTAATTATTCTTTGAATCGCAATTTCGGTATTTAGATTCAGCCTAAGGCGTGCCGTTATTTTTATTTCGCTCCTAACTGGTTTTTATCTATTGATTTTAAAAACTAATTGATAAATTAGTATGTACTAATCAGGCATTACATATTGGATATTTGGTTTGACTTACCTTATTGATTGATTAATTAAGTCTAATTAGGCATTACATATTGACACACTTAGATATAAAGTGATTATATCATTTCGTCTTAGGAGGACAGGCAATTTATTCTATTTTGTCAATTTATTCTATTTTATCAATTTATTCTATTTTGTCAATAATGTGTTTATCTTTAAACTATCTAACAAAAGGGTTGAAGCACTAAAATGTACAAGATACGTACTGATGATTTCTATAAATTTCAATGTTAATGTTTACAGAAGTTTGCCGGACATCATGCTCTTATAATTTGACTTTATTTTGTCTTAAATTGATTGAAAAACTAATATGGAAGGTACTAAATATTAACTCGAACTATATATTTGTTCTCCATTCTGCCATAATGCGTAATTTCCTTTATGCTCTGGCATAATTTCCTTTTAAAAATTAAAAATACGTATTTTTAATGTTTAGAGGAATGTATATATCTCTAATTTTTAGAGTAAAAAATTTTAATCTTGGATCGAAATATTAAAACTTGTTTTTTCACCCCGTGGGGGGGGGGCCCTATTCTATTTCAACATCTTTTTCAGTTAGTTGGGGCAACAGGGCTAAAATTTTTGGCAATTTATTTCATATCTAACCAATATTTTTTTTCCCCTTTAAACCACCTACAAAACAGATTAAAGCTATAAAATGAAATCTAATTATGCATATAAACTACAGAATTATTATTATTGCAATAATTATTTGCTTTATATTGGATATATACTAGTTAAGGCATACATTTACACTAATAAAGCACATAATATGGTATATATAAAATTATTGCCTCATATTGTTCAGCCAACGTTAACGGAGATGATACAAAGATATTATGTTTTAAAAAAACAAAATTAAAAATATAGTATTCAGCCTAAGACCAGGGAAATAGGATTTTGCCAAAAATATATATAATCGTCCCCTCTCCCCGATAAATCCTGGCTACACCACTGCAAAAAGATAAGATAGGTATAAAAAAAAATTAAATAGGTTATATTTAAACCTTAGTATATTATTTGGGTTAACGTTTTTGCCAGATTTCTGGACGTTGGGACTCAAATTTTTAGATCCACTAGGAAATAATTTCGCGGCTAAATTTTGCATTTCCCTTTTCCTTTTGAGTATGCAAAAGATGGTTATGATACTGGATATAATGAGGCCCAAGAAAAATAGACCTAATGAGAGATTGAGTATGACTTGATTGACATCTTGATTAGCTTGGATAAGAGCCGCTGTTTTGTTAAAATTATCATTGAATTCATTTCCGTTTAAATAAAAATTGATAGTTGTATGAGTTGACTCATTTAAAGCTTTATGGGGAAATGCCATATATCAAACCGGGGTTGGTCAAATGGGTTTGAGACATTAATAATACTATTTAAGGTTCTAAGCGAATTCATTCATAAGAGAGATGTGGATTATGTTAAAATCAAATAATAGTCGATATGAGTTCAAAATATAGCTTCTCTATACTATAAACTGTCTCGAATATTTTAATACAAGTTAAGTGGAATGGATAGAGAAATAACATTCATATGAGGACAATTTATTTTGACATAAGTTATTAGAGGAAAAAACGAATGAAAATAATAAAAATTAATTAAAACATTAATTTATATAAAAAAAATATAACGAAATAAATTTAATATCAATTTAAATTAAAAATAGAAAGTAAAATGAGTTCTATTATATATATATATATATATATATAATTTTATAAATCATTTATTTTATCGAAGTCATAAAATAATCTAGAAAAATCAAATAAAATATAATCAACTTATATCTTCTCCCTTTATGATGTTTATTCACCTCTAGTGTTTTAATTTCTAATTCTAGAAATCTTATGAATTAAATAAACATTTATCTTGGTTGTAAAATTTTCCTGCTTAGAGTTATATTTAATATTTTATAAGAATTGGATTGTTGAGTAATAAATGATAATATATTTTGATTTTATGTGGATTTTGTATTCACTAGTCATGACAGGGAATACTTCTCAATTTTTTAACATTTTTTAATATTAATTCATATTCCTCGTTATTTTTATTAATTTCCTCTTATTCATCCATTACTCTTAAGAATAATACACCCCCCCCCCTCCCATTTACCCAAAGCAGTCTGTTGAAAATAATAATTAACTGATAACCCAGTTATGCCGTTTTTAATATGAACACCAGATTGAATTAATCCATTTTTAATTATATGTTTTGCATTGGCAAAGGTTATATCCACTTTTTTTAAAAAAATTCTATTCAATTCAAAATATCCAATTTTCCTTCAATACACAATTCCTTCAGCATAGATATTTATGCTATTAAAAAATTAAGATAACATAAATAAATGCACATTGTTATACCAGTTCCACTCACATTACTTAGTGTAAAAGGAGGCTCTCTTTTTCCTCTCATAAAGTAATTAAATCTCCTCCAAGGTCTATGAATATTTTAAAATAAATATAAACTAATATATATTATATGTTACAACTTACAAGAGGTTATACATTCCCTTTATTATATATATTAAAAATGATTTAAATATTCATGGCAAAATGGTAAATCTATAGGATAGTTATTCTTCACATAGGGAAGAAATAAAATGCCTGGGTTTTTTTTCAATATCAAATCATTTACTGTGAGAATTTTTTTAAAATTTGAAAATGTGATACAAGAACAGAATAGTATTCCAGTGTGTAGATCTATTCTATAAATTTGAGACAATTTATAAAAGATATACAATAATTGCCTGATTTCCAGTATTACGGGTCTATACTACAAATATAAATAAATTTTTAACTTAGTTAAAAAAATTTATTTTCATATTGAGTTATAAATTATGATATAACATTATTTGTAGTCATTTAATACAAATCAGTCTATATTTATACTATGATTGGAATGTAATAAATTAGTTTAAAAATTTGTGGTGAGTGATCAGAACGCAAATTTAATTAGGCATGTCAAATATATTTTCTATTTGAGAATCTAAATAAAACAATTGCTTTTTTATAACCTTAAAATGCCACTACAAATTTTATTTTAAAGCCGATTAAATATTGAAGATTATACGTTTTGCTCTACATATAGAGATTATAATAAATAGAGATTTTTGATTTTCAAAATTAATATTTTTAAAATTGATAATAAAAAACTATCTTCCTTGTGTTCAAATTCCCTAATCCGTTTCTTTCATGAACCTGAATCCGATTCGAGTTAAAATAAACAAATTCAATTTAAACCATAAGAGCCGGTAGGAATATTCGAAAGAAGGGCAAAAAATATCTTAATCTGGTAAAATACAGGACACCAATTTATTAGATTTTTATTACTTTCGTTTTCTTGAATGCTTTTTTTGGACATTTTTTATGTGCTGTTTTGCATATTTTCTCATTTTGCTTGATTTTATTTTTTCCTCATGCGTGATTTTTGAATATCTTGCGTAATCTAGCATACTTTGCATAATTTTTGCATGATATTTGCATATTTTTCCTAATGTATGCATATTGTCATTTTTGCCTGTTTTTTTTGTATAGATTCCATCTAATTTTGTGTTTTCTGTAGTAATGCAACATTTTACATGTTTTTATGTCATTTTTTGCGTTATTTTGCATGTTCTTTGCATATTTTACGGGTTTTCTATAATTTTATTTTCACTTTTGCACCCTTTTGTGTAATTTTGCATTGCGTGCTTTATGCATATTGTCATTTTTTCGTGTTTTTTCTATAATTTTTTAAATTTTATTTTATTTTCTTTGCCTTCCACTTCGTCTATGAACTAAACTCTGTGTTGAATCTGAATGTAACAAACTTAAAAAAGAGTTAAACCATATACACAAAAAGTATACTTGTCAGATAAATGGGTTCTATGCCATTTTTGAAAATGAATAAATTATAATTTTAAGAATTGTAAAATAAAAATATTGATCGTGATGAATTGTTGAGATAATTGTAGTAGGAAGGCTTACTTTTATGCATGATTGATATTAAAGGGTAATCTTAAAGGGGTCTAAGCATCATAGCTTTAGTGGGTTTATTAGAACCTTCCTTTGCAAAATTAAATAAGTTAGATATCTTAATTTTATATAGGGTTTTGGAATATTAATGTACAACTGAGGCCACTAAATATTGGCATATCCAAAATTTTCACCTCACAGTTTTAGATTTTGGCAATATGCAAAAATCGTTCATATTTTACTTATAACCACCGGTTAACAGCTTACATTTTGTTTGAAGGAAGCACAAATTAGGCACTAAATATTTTAGATAATTACCGCATTAATTTTTAAATTTTGCAGACTCTGTGCAGACTTTTTTTCTTTTTAAAACTCTAAATAGCTGTACTGAAACGTTCCCCACATTTGACTATAATACGAATCTTTCCTCTCAAGTCTATGGACTAATCTATTTAGATCACTATTTGTGCACCCTTGGATTAACTCTTGAACCGGTAACCACGTCACCTTTCCCATCACATCCTCCACCCTAATGTGTCTCTCAATTGTCAAAGTCTGCCCTTTATTCTTACCTGTGACTTCTCCTTATCCTCTTCCCCAGATTAAACTATTCATCCATATTAATAGTATCACCAATGCCTCAAAAATGTTCTACTGTACCTCCCTGTACTTTACAAATTCTAAGCTTTTCATTTCCACATTATAAAAAATTGACTAACAGTTTTAATATAAAAATTTTAACTATTTGTAATGTTAAAAGATAGGATATAATTAGTATTGTGATGTGAATAACCCTACGAAACATATAGACATTCATCCCTGTCAAATTATGTTCTGCAATTCAAATCTAATTTACTCTCCTAAATTCTATTAAGCTCATACTCGTTTTTCACCATGGTTACCAGCTTTTTTTAACCTTCACCTGTACGCAATAGTTTTCTACTCTGGTATTCCTCCTTCTTTTAATAAATTACACTCGTACGAAACAGTTTTCCACTCTGGTTTTCCTCCTTTTTAATAACTTTCACAGGTCACCCTTATGCAACGATTTACTAGCCATTTTTTTAATATAAAATTATCTAGGTGTGAATAATGCCAAATTAAATTGAAAATCTATTGTTAAAACTCAAATTGTAAATTTAACCAAACATTTTTTATAGTTTAATATTTTATATACAAAAATATAGTTGAATAATTATAAACTATTTATGCAAGCTTTTATTAATAAAACAGTATCAAGTTTTTATCACCAAGGCATGCGTTTAATTACAATCTAATACTAAAAAGTAGTTATCTGCATCGGGCCTAATTTTTCAAGCCCGGCCCGGCCCGAAATTTTTTTTAAAAAAGTTTTGCCGGCCCGGCCCGAACCTGAAATTTTTTTAAAAAGTTTTGCCGGCCCGGCTTGAATTTTATTTTAAAAAAATTTACCGGCCAGGCCCGAATTTATTTAAATATTGAAATTAATTTTTATAATTACTTAAAATAAAAGACATATGTTATATAGCGTTTAATTTCAATAAATTAAATCAAAAATTTTTATATTACATAAAAAATTCAATATAAAATTGATAAATTTAGATATATTTAATAAAATTTTCAAAATCCGACCCGACCCGGCCCGAAATTTTTTAAAAAATATTAGGCCCGGCCGGAACCCGATTATTTTAAATAAAATGGCCCAACTAACTTTGCAGATCTCTACTAAAAAGTCTTTCAACTGATGTAATGGACAGGAAGGTAATGTAGAGTTATATTTTTATGAATAACAAATTTTTTTAGAATAATTATTCAAAGTTTGATAAGGTTAAAATTTATATCCTATCCTTTCTCGGATCTTGAAAAAATATAATTTGAACTATTTCAATTTTTTCCACGATCACTATCTTATTGCAACCATGAGATTTCATAGACTTATTACTGTTTCAATTCTTGTTTTTTCCTTTAATTTTCTGGCAGTTGAAATCCAATCTAGTTTGAAAAGTTTGCTGATGTGTTGATTGTTTCATCTTTGTCAGAATCATTTATGTTAATAATCTAAAAATTTATAATATATTAAACTATTTACCAGAGGCGTATCCAAATTTTTTCTCCGTAAATTTGATTGGAGATCTTTAGGTCTACTTATTATAGGCCTTGGCTATATTCGATTTTTATAAAATAATTTTGGGTTTACACTTTTTTTTTATTAAAATGCTACTATTCTAAAAATTTTGAATTTATCGTCGTTATTTTAAAAAGTTATTAACTTTCACTAATTTTTCTTTCAAATTTTTCCTTATAATGATATATTGTATAAATTTGGGGGAAAGGGTATTGTGTAGGGGTAAAATATTTATTAGCTTAAAATTATATTTACGAAAACAGGTAAACTTGC